ACGTTGGATTACCGGTAGTGGGTTCGATTTCCACCAAGACCGCAGAAATTTTTCTGATGGACACGTTAAAAGGTAAGACCCCCGTCATTCAATGCTCGCACAAGTCTCTTCAGAACAAGTTTTTAGTGAACTTTTTGTTTATTGGAACTACTACTTTCTGATGTTAATGATATTAAGTAAAAATAAGGTGAAAAAATGAATATTTCAAATAAAAAAAATGTATTTGGGACAAAAAGAGGTAAATTTTCACCAAATTTCGTTAAGAAAATTTTTGAAATGGTTGCAAGTCAAACAGCATACAGGGTAGGTCAAAAAATATGAAAATTGATCAAGAGTAAAGTATCCTTATTTCAGAAAATTCAGCAAAATGTTAATGAGAAGAGTTGTTTGCAACTGAAAGTTATGTAAAAATACCAAAACATTGCCTCCTAAGACATATATGAGTTTTCAAATTTCTTTCGTTAATAATATCCCAATTTGTAATATTTTTTATATTCACCCTGAACACTTCCATAAGTTAATCATAACAAAATCAGTTGATCATACTTTTGTTCAAATTCAAGCATATTTGTGCAATTAACTTGGATTTTAATTTCTTCAGGGTATCACAAAATTTATGTTTGTTGTAACGATATTTAGCTTAACTTTAAAATTTCGCAAACCATGTTCTTAACGAGGTAAAACGTCATTAATGATAATTTGCAAATTCAAAAACTGTCATTTAATGTGAACATTATGTATTTGAAATGTTTATGAAAAAGCTGTACAAATCAATCGATAACCATGATATCATTTGAAATAATCACGAATACCCAAGGAACAAAACAAATGAGCGTTGACAGTAAACATTGAGACAGTTTGGTGACATTAACTTCTCATCTCATGATGAAGTTAAGCTGAATATCGTTGCAACAAACATAAAGTTTGTGATTCCTCAGAAAAGTTAAAATCCAAGTTGATTGCACAAATATTCTTGAATTTGAACAAAGGTATTCTCAACTGATTTTGTTATGATTAACTCATGAAAGTGTTGAGGGTGAATATGAAAAAAGTTACAAATTTGTGAAATTATATATTAACGAAAATAATTGAAAACTTAAAAAATGTCCTAGGAGTCCATGCTTTGGTATTTAGGCATAACTTTCAATTGTTAACAACTTTTCTTGATAACATTTGACTGAATATTCCGAGTACTTTTCTCTTGAGCGATTTTGAAAATTTTCGACCTATCCTGTATGCTGTTTGACTTGCAACCATTCTAAGTGCACCTAGAATGATAACCGAACATGCACCAACTTCCGGCACTATCTGTATTTTAGTTGTGCATTTCATTAAAAAGATTCCCATAAGTTGCACACTCAAATGACCACACTGTATAAACACTGTCGATGGCTTCTGTTGTGCTAATCTCAAAAAATAAGCCAATAACACCGTCTCCGACAAAAAGTTGGAAGTCCTTTTATCTTTCATTCCACTTCGCGATTACGTAAATTACTAAACAACCACTAATAAGTTCGCAATTTTTTTTATCAAAACACAACATTAGACTAATATTTGATTACTTCTAAAGAATGATAAAGATCCGTGCACGCAGGTGTAATTCCTATTAAAAACTTCCAATTTCTCGTCGATAATTTTCTGATTTTAATATAATGTATCTTCTCAATATTGATTCGTCCTCTTCTTGTCACAGAGAAAAATAGTGTATTATTCACGTGAAAAATATTAGATTTTAGCTCACGGTTTTTTGTCTCCCTCCGCTACGCGTCGGGAGACACAACCCGAAACTAAAATCTACTACATTTTTCCCTTGTATAATAAATAACCATTTTTCCCGATATAGGTAACTGACAAACTAAAATTAATTTTGAAAACCTTTGGAAGGATGTTGGAACGACCTTGTGTGGTTCTCACCCCCTTCTCTCTCATATTGTTATATTCTTTTTCTACAAACGTCAAAAATGACAAGGTTCGCGCATTGACAACAAATTGCGAAGTGACACTTTTTTCAGTTTCCTACGTTACAATGATACCTTGCACAAAACAATGCGCGAAGTAAAACAGTGCGCGAAGTACCTACTTCGCGCACTGTTATGTAAAATATATGAGATATTTATATTTCAACTTAATGGTCCACAATCGAGCAAACATCCACTAAATCATTTATTACTGAATGTTCGATAAATAACTTCGTTTTATCTCTTGGAGCGCACGAAAGGAAATTCCTATTATGTTCGTGGAACTTCGTGCGTACCTAGGGAGGATCGGGGCAGGTCATTAAAACCTGATCAACACTATTTTTTATATCAAGCTGAGCATATCTCCACTTTAGAACAATATTTTTTGAGGTTTGTAGAAAAAATGTTGTTTGCAACTCGAGCGCGAAATACTTTGGTCATCTCGACTATATTTTTAACTCGGCTACGCCTCGTTGAAAAAATCAGATCTCGATCACCAAAGTAGCATTTCGCGCTCTAGATACAAAAATAACTATTTTCTATTCCAATAGGTTTCATCCTACTATTTTGTTTTCACTATTTACCGCTCTCAAAGGCTGCAGCACTGGTCTATGTATTCAAAATATTCTATGAGCAAGATAGGTACACCATTTGAAATTTTATTAAAGATCTCCTAATTAGTTGAAGCAGTATCTAGACTATAATGATAATGATCTAACAATTATGAATGATTTTAGAGCAAAAATACTTTCAAATTTCAAATCGAACATTTTTCGGACCAAAAGATGTGGAGAACCAACCAATGAATTCGAAAACCGGGAAAGAGGCAACAACCAGTTACCACCTGCCAAAAATGGTCGTTCGGGATGACTTTCAAAATTAGTAGTTGGTATAATAGTAAGATGAAAATGGCGCTGGTCATTCGTTATCAGTACCAACAATCCTCGATCAGTATCTATAGGTACCTACCTCACCAAAATGACGCTATTCCTGGCTTCGTAGTAAAAAATGTTCTGTTTACAACTTTTACGATAATTTTTGTGCACACCGGGTAATAGAGGAATAATAGTCGTGTTTGAAAAGAGGTCCTGTCTTGTAGGCTCGTAGACAATTTCAACCTAAAAAAGAGGTCCTGTCTCGTAGGCTCGTAGACAATTTCAACCTAAAAAATACTGAAAATTATGAGAGCCCTGAAGATATAGTCAACACTTATAGTTTTTCACGGGAATCAGAAAACATGAGCTGAGATAGTAAGCAAACAAACATTTATTTAAATAGAATAAGTGTAAAAATCAATAGATTGTAAAGAATAAATTGAGCAAACAATAATGTACTACAGAAAATCATTTGATATAGGAAAAAATTCACAAGTAGATTCAACAAAATGAATAATTTAATCATTCCAAATTAAATTTAACCTAATTTCCACATTTCCCTATATACAGGGTGTTGATATAAATTGGTGTGAAAAACTTTAGGTGATAGCTTGTCATATTTTAGGAGAAAAAAGTGCACATAAACTTGTGTCCTAGATTGCATACGACAAATCACTCCTCAAAATTGTTCACACTTATTCATTTACACCCACCCTGTATCATATTTAACAAGATAGCATCATCTTCACAATCTAGTAGAGATCATTTGATAAGTAAAAAAATACTTATCATAGATAAAACCAAAGGCCATCAATTTCATAGGAGGAATAAGCATTTTCATTTGCATCTGCACCAGTCACCTTGAAGCAGATTAAGGAAGAATTGTATTCTCGAACAACTCGCACAAAACTTGTTTTTTTTTCACACAGGATGATTCAACTTTTCATGAAAAATTTAGTGGGTGGTAGATCTTCCGGATATAATGAGGACATGCTAGTTTATACACCCAAGTAGGATTCGTTGAGGAGCTTCAGAGCTATCAGGAGCATCAAGGCTACACAAGGTGATTTATACACCCTTTTTTCTCTAGTGAATTTTCGAAACTAATGTTTGTGAATTTTGAGTGGGCAAATCAAATTGTACAAACTCGAGAAGAAAAAACACTAAAATTCGTGATTTTATGCTCCAACGACACCACAGACTAAGCAATTCCATCATTTTGATTCCAATTGATTTAAGGTAATGTGAGGTAGATAACTATTTCTCAATAAATGTTATAGAGAATATATTTTCTCCTTTAGATAATATCAGTTTTTTTCGGTACATAACAAATAATTCAATATTCTGTGGTATTAGCCTGGAAAGTAGTTGTTTTCTGTTAGATATTTCAATAATAATTTCCTTATTCTCCAAAAATTCCTCTTGGAGGTATTTGTAAACTAGTATTTCCTCAAAATTGCTCAAAGATGTATCAGAGCTACATATTTTTTTCGATAATTTACAAATTATCTTTTATGTTCTAACTTATTCTTTGAAAAAAATCGATTTCAAGTTCTTTCTGAGTCACTTTTCTAAAAAATATTTCGCCAAAAACAGAAATGTGCCTAATGGAAAAAGCTTCTAGTTGCACATTTCACAATATCAGATCCAAAACCCATATTATTCTAGTGCAAAAAATTGAATATGAGTTTAGCATGAATAATATACTCTTAAAATCAATTAAAACCTTAGCTCATCATCTGAAAAGTCCAATCTGAAATAAGATATATGGCTGATAATCAATCCGAAAACAAAGTGGTAATAATATTTTTGAATTCAATTCATTGTACGAGTGTAACTGAGCTTAACTACGGGCCAGTTGTGAAAAAGCATTTGACAGTCCATTTGAAATTTATTTTGTTTATATCTATGGCAATAAATGAGATGAGTTAGAAGAGTTGATCCCTCGTCAAGTTAACAGAGAGGCTTAAGTATACCGGCCAGCCCCGTTTTTTTTTTAGAAAATCGACGAAATCTTATCATACATGACATATTTTCAAATTAATTTATCAGGATTCGAGGAACTATATGTTTCATTGTTGAGAAATCCATGATCTAACACCTCTTTCAGGATATCAACAAACCCTCTTTTTTTCGCCTGTAGATATAAAGCAACCCCTCTAAATTCTTATTTTTCTTCGCCTGCATAGTGCTTGATGAACCTAGCCGAGGGATCGGTCACCCCTTCCACCCATCTGGGCATCCAGTAATAAGGCAAGAAGTTGGGCGACAATTTCGCATAGCTCTTTTCGAACACCTCCCTGTAGTAGAGGGCCTCTTTTGAGGAGGGCGTGCAGTGGGGGTACTTTTTCGAAACGGCAGATTGGTCGAACGGCTCCGGCATCCTTTTGTCCACGATCTCTTGGAGCACCACGAAGAGTGATTTCGTTTGCGATGCTACGCCATCGCTGAAAATTTCGCACCTGATGATTGTCCGTTTTTGAAAATTCTCAACGTAGGAAAAACTAGCCACAGCCAACTCCACTTATCAAGCCAGGAATTCAGAAAGGCACTGACAAGCACTGACAATCAGACATGACCACAATTAAATTGATGGAAAAAGCGGGAACTGACAGTACACGGACGTACATGACATAAAATTCAAAGGTTTGACAAATTGAGAGAATTAGGAGAAAGATGCAAGTTTGTGCAGTTTCCAACTGTGAGAACACGGGAAATCAATTCACTCTATTCAAATTTCCATCGGATAACGTAATTCTACAAAAATGGAAACAGAATATGATACGGCCATCATGGAATATAGGTTCACGCCACAAAATTTGCGAGGTATTCAAATTTTTTGGTAGGATATAGAACATTTTTCAACGCATTTTCATCAGGTATACTTTAGAACGAAAGATTGAAGAATAGGATCGTATTGAGAGAAAGAGCCGAACCCACAATAAACTGAGCGAGTATCGAAAAGAACCTTATTCCAATTTAGAACCAACAAGAGACGAAAAACTTGCAGATAATGAAATTCATTTCGAACATATTTTGAAAAAAAAAAGAGAATCGAATTTTGAGAGCAGGAATATTCAAAAATCCAAGGTTTACGAGTGGAAGAGAGTGAGGATTTCAGGAAACACAGAAAAGAAAAAAATAGAGAGTTATTGGAAAATAAGTTAAAGCAAAAAGATTTAGATACAGAAGTCAGTTAGCAAAATTCAGAACTATTACCTATACATTGTTCGTGTATCGCTTCTTCAAAGTTGAAATCCCAAGTCTGAATATGCATGTTCATGCGTAGTTGAGAAGTGCTAGGCGACTACATAGCTCCTAGTGGATTTTGAACCACCAAAATCGTTTGTGGTTATGTTCGATTGTCACTGCTTGTCTAGTGCCCGTACTCTAATATACAAAAACGTCAAAATAGCAGTGTCAGGTACATTTAGGAACTCTAGTCCTACCCTACTCTACTCTATGGCCCTACACTCCAGAGTCGTCGTAGAGCTGTCTCTAGGTCAGCGGATTTTGGGGCGCTGTATAACTTCATGTTGAAGCAAGTCGGTAGCAGGAGATTCGCCTTCCGGTAATGGTAGAAGACACATGCCGTCTTCTGGCCGAAAGTCAGGTAAATGTGTGTGCAAGTCCAAAATTTTCAAATTACCTGAACTGGATAAAAATCCAATATTTAATGTCAGGCTCCTTTATTTAACGGATTTGTTGGACAATAGAACTACATAATAATCGAATCTTAAGAATATAATCAAATACAATTCTTGAAAAAATTAATTACCTGATCTGGAGAAATTATTACCGAAAGCAGAAAGAAATCTAACGAACCAAAGATAATACACATAAACCTACAGAGAAGAGGAAGAGAAGAAGTCGGTAGCATTTTCCTCCTTGTATATTTGATATATATGTTATATCAGATAAAAGACAGGTGAGCGTTAGTTCAAAAACAAGTTGGCATCTGGGATCTTTAGGAACAAACATTTGCAATCCGTATTCGTTAATATGAATCGTTGCATAGACTTCGGGAGGAAGAAGTTATTCTGCTCCCGTCGTATACCATTGTTTTTCATCTCCATGAACACTTATGGAATTCATTTCATTCTAGTTCGAGTGTTTTGGCTATTATGTGATTCTAATATAACAGCTTTACTTGCTATGGAATGAATGACCTATATGAAAATTTTCAGCTCAGTTAAGTGTACTTCAACAAAGGTACATCATCATCTAACAACAGCAATATCGGACATTATACTGATTCTCGCTCTGAGTATCACACATTTTCATTATTTCTAATACTCCCAAAATTATTGGCTGGTTCAGCAAAAACGCTAACCCCTCCGTTACACAATAAAAGATAAAACATGGGCTTTTTCCAGTACTGTTTATAGAATGTCGTTCCGCAAAACACTGATCATGGATGCAACGGGAGACATGCCCATTTCCATCTTTCTATGTTCGCGTTGTGGAACGGTGACAGAACGTTCATACAGAAAGGAGGTTGAAATTATTCGATTAATTGATTAAGATATTTCTTATATTAATAATTATTCTACATACAATATTGATTACGGAGTTCTGAGGAGCGTCATCGAGGATTTTTCCATTTAATATAAGACAAACAGTTATTACGAAAATAACAATGCCATCAAGGAGACTAGTTGGAAGAAAGATTGCACGGATATTGTACAGATTATGAATATATCTGGTAACTCCAATATATTCATTCATTGATGATGAAGTAATTGATGCAAACTCTTCTTGAAGGAAGATCATATAAGATACCTATTTGTTGCTTTTTAATGTGCGCTGCAGCAGATGGTTGCAAAGATTCAAATCCATAAAAGGATATTTGAAAAATTATTGGAGATGAAGGTATGGTTCGAAAGAAACCTTTTGATTTTCAATACCTATTCAGAGGTCCCATCTTGAACTGACGACATTTTCGATTTGCGAAAGCTCCTAATGCTACCGCACATAAAAGAACTCCAGCTGTAGCAGTGCCAAATATTCATAATCCAGATTATCATCCATTGGTAGAATTGGACTACCTTGAACAGATTGACCCTTGTGCTTTGAAAGAATGCTAATTGCAGAAATAATACTTGATAGTCTGAACAAAAATAATAATACAAATCAATATGACAAGATTGGCGGTAGTAAAATTCCGAAAAATCTATAAATGCCCACTTTATTCGAGTCTTTATTTTATTGTCTTACGGTACTAATTGCGGAATGTTGATTATAACGTTGACGTGCGACAATCAGGGGTAGGAGTAGTTATTTCTAGAGCCTCCTCCAAACTGAACTACATATTTTCCTCACAGCAGACTAGTTAGCAATATTTCAATAACTCTGCAGTATTGCCAACCTTAAGCGAGAACCGGGCTTGATAAGTGAACTTGAAAGAGTGGACCTGACCTAAATCTTGACCTATTTCCTCTTTACCTGAAAGCTTCTTTGGGTCTCCAGAGAATGTTGTGCGGAAGGACATCGGTACCATCAAATGCTGATCTCAGAAGGAACTTTTCAATGGAATCCTTTGGTTGTTTCAATTCAGGTGCAATGTTCAGGTAATAGTTGGTGAATTGGAGATCCAAAAATGGTACTCTCAATTCCAAACTTGAAAAAAATAAAAAAGTTTGATAAACACAGGGAACTATATTTTCAATTGAATATCGAAAACAAAAATATATGGATAATCCAATGGCATTCTCAGCAAAGTATCACTTGACCCTGCGTTCCATATACAGTATGATGCAAATGTATGGAATAAATTCATTTCAAAACAAGACGACTTCCGAAAAAAATCCAAAAAGTAGAGTTCAGAACCTTTTTACCGATGTATTCTTTCAACTAGACGACCCTTCGATGTTCAATTCTCAGTAGAAGATCTCTGCAAGATTCAGTTAACCAAATGATAATCCATTTTAATTTCAATCTTCTTTTGCAAAATTTTTACTATTGGATAGACGATCAGTAGACCTTTCAAACGAGGTGTCACATGACCCCTGTTTGTATTTAAAAAAACCGTCCATTACGTCATTACTCCAACACCGGTGACGTAACATCTCTCAGATGAATGTCATGAGATGAGGTTTCAAAAATTAAAACTCACGTGTTTTTGGAATTTCTTCAAATGTCGCCCATTTCTGAAATAATGAATTTATTCCATACATTTGCATCATACTGTATATATCATCTCTGAGGATGTATGTGATGTTGGGTTTTTGGGTTTTTGCATTCCTAAATACCTTCAAATTTTCTCAGGTTCTAGTCTTTTGCTCCTTTTAAAATTATATATATTATAACATCACATATTTGGTACCAGGGCATGTATAATTTAATTTGCTGGTAAGTTTCGAGCTGCAGCTCAATAGTCTGCATACATATTAGTAGTAGTAGTAGGTGTGGAGGCTGTAGCCAAGCAAGTAGGCCCCGATGGTCCTTTTTTGCAAACCCCTGCTCTCCACATATCTACGCTTCCTTCATCTAGACTTCCTTTACGAATCTCCCTGACCTTCTAATGAAGGGCAGTATGTCCGTCCACTTTAATATTATCACCTCCTCCTGTTGGAGTTTGTCGACTCCAAAGATTTCGAATCTCAGCCTTCTGTACGCCTCGCACTCGCCGAGAAAATGGAGTGACGTTTCTTCAAAGCCAATCAGTAGGAAGAATAAATTTGATGGGAAGTAGAGGTATTGGAATATCCTGTTGATTGTGTTGAAGGGCTATGTACACAGTGACCAATTTGGTAGGTCATAAAAATCTTTCACTAGAAATTATAGAATGGAGCAAGTTGACATATTTGTTTCTCTCTTGAACAAATTCTCGGTTAGTTCGTCGTACTACAAAAATGCATGTGACAGTAACTTGTATTATAATAAACCCTTGATTCATCAAGATAAAATACATTTAGGTCTTGAAGAAATACGATAAGTGCACAAATATCAGGAGGAAAAACTCAGAACATACAAAAATATTCAGAAATGTCCATCTGCGTATTTCTTTGGTAATTACCAATAAATCTAGCACACTCCTTGTATCACGGGGATTAGTGAATTTCTTTCTGGATATCTTGAAAATTGAAATTTTTGAATCTTGAAATCTCCAGATATTTCATGGAAATGAATTTCCTATTGTCCACTTTGTCAATACATAACTTTACTTACCTATGTCCCGCCGTGGTCCTATCAGCTCTCAAGCCGTCGAACATATAAATTTCTCTCAGCAGCCTCAGACTGTCTTCATGAGCAGCCTGAGCATTGGGTGCATCCCGGAAATAAATGTATCCCTGCGCTACTTCATCAGCACCTTCCCCACTAAACAACACTGTTGTTTCAGTCTGTTCTGAAATATACCTATAAAACAGTTATCATATTTCATTACCTGGAAATCAATCACACTGGTATCTGAGCTATGGAAATAACTCGTACAATATATTCCTTATTTTCACGTCTGATCATTAGGAATCTTCTGAATCAGATATTATTCATTTATTTATTTGAAACTGTGACTTCCAGTCAGAAACAAGTTCTGGTATAAGGAATTAGTTAACAATAATACCTAACTATACAATTATAACAAACTAATATCTAATATATTTTAATACATTTGATATCAAATTTTTACAAATCATTTCATATTGGTGCAAAAAAAACAATTTGAATAGGAATTATAAGTTGGGGAAAAAAGAAAAAAAAGCATTCATTTCGTTCAGAAACGATGGGTTTTTCAAGTTCAAATTCGAATTTGATTGTATTTCTGCAATTTTTATTTCTATATAGAAGAATAGTTTGAAATTCATTTTTTTTGTAACATGTTTTTCAAAGGTTTTTCAATATTATACCTATATAACTATTTTGCTTGAAAAAATGCCTGCCTTATATTACTCATTTTTTGCATCTCTAATCAATCATAGTTGGCCGTGAAGTAGTGCAATAAGACAATAGAATATCCAGTAATGTAGCTCACATTAAGCACTACATTTTGAGAAAAACAAAATTTCGAATTTGTCAACAAATAGGAAAATATATGGGTGGTATAAATGTGCACCAGATGATTTTATGAACAATTTTTGGAAAAGATACCATGATAATTGAAAGATAAAAATATTGTGGTGCTTTTTTTCGAAAGTTGGTCACTTCAGATCATATCAGTTTTCCTATTTCCGTAAATTTCAGACTGTAATCATTAATAATTAATAATTCTATTCAACTTGAAATTATGATTTTCAGCAAGATTACAATAAAACTATGTACCTGGATAACAGGTACATGGGAATAGAAGCCCGGATAGTGGTGATGTCTGGAGATTCCAGAGTGTAGATGACGTCATCGAGGACCTTGGACACATCTTCTTCGGTAAAAATGACCTCATGATGATCGGTTCCAATGTGATCGGCTACTAGCCGAGCTGCTCGTAGATCTGGGCTGTCCCCCATTCCGATAGCAAATGACTGACACACACACGGAATATTAACCATGAACATAAGTTCAATGACGACAAAAACTCAATTAGTCGAATTTTACGTTTAAATGGAAGCAATCAATTGAGAACCATGTCTCACTTTTCAAGTCAAGAAATGTTGAAATTTTGTAGCTTAATTAATGATGTTGGAGTTTCCATGATATTTTAAACAGCAGTAGGACATTGGATATCATTTTGGATATAGGTGAAGTAAAACCTTCTGAGGCGTGTTTTAATGAAAACATCCTGTAACTCATTTGTAGACTAAAATCACTCATTCATATGCCCACATCAGTATGACACTGAAAAGTGTCAAACTATACGCAGCACAACTTCCAAAGAAACATAATTTGCATTTACATGTTGAGAACCAGAGCAGAATCGGTCCCGAAACGTCCAAAGATAAGTAAAAATTCTATATTTTTTCAATATATCTATATTTCTTTTCTTCAAACATTTTTTCAAACAAATTGTCACTGACAAGCTACTGGATTTTTCTTTTAGACTCTCTGATAGAAATTTTTTTTAAACGCAGTGACATTTTGGGGCAAATCATCTGATTTGTCCCTCTACAAATATATTGAAATAATATGAATACTTTGTTTCTCTTTCCTCATAGTTGAGATTCATTATTTAAATACATATAGGGTGATTCGTTTTGTTTTTCCTTTTGTGAGCTCCAAGAGAAAGAAGAAATATTTGGTCAAATTTTGTTTCCTCCAAAAAGCAAATGATTTCGTCGAATTTTTTTTCTGAAACGTGCTGAGCTATAAATGGACACGACACAAGAAGAAGTTTCACTTCACCTTCATAATAGTGCAGCTACTGATGGGTAAAATAATTCATGAAAATATAAAGCAGTAATACACCAGCTTTATGCTGAAAATTATACAGTTCAGAAGTTTCACGGGGTTATTTGTAGAAAGATTATAGTGCATATATTTCATTCACCTGTATTTTATATGGCAGGTTTGAATTTTTTGCTTCTGTAACCAGCAGTGAAGCTATGAGAGAGGAATCTAGACCACCTGACAAAAGGCAACCGATTTTCCTATCAGCCATCAGCCTCTTCTTTATGGATGAGGTCAGTAATTTTCTAATGTTCCCCTGATGATCATTTGGTGTTAAATCTTGAAGAAAAATGTTTTGTAATTTTTTGTTTCAATGCTATAAGATCAAAAATAGCTCTAGTCAAAATATACTAAGATGATATATGTATCCTATAGAATTTGTGGATTTTGGAAAATCTTAAATTTTATTAGTGATTTTATATAGAATGGTCACCATTATTCAAACATTCTCAGTTGTATTGAAATATTGAAGTTAGAACATATATTTTGGGGGCAAGCAAATAAATTAATAATTAGTACAAAAACGTAATAGTAGATTGTTTTATTAGGATCAAAAGTGACACTTTGTTTGGAAAGCGAATTTTGCATTTGCGAGGCGGAGCATGTAGCGAAGCCGAGGTATGGGTCCAACCCAAATAACTAACCATAACAATGTTCTTTATTCTTGATGACGTCTAGTACATCTTTTTTAGTTCCTAGGAACTAAAGTTAAACATTAGCTCCTACGAACTGAATATGTTGCCTAGCAACATACCTATTTTGGTGTCAATTCAAGAGCTAATTTTGGTATCAAAATGGATGACTTTTGTGTCGGTTGCAGAAAAATATATTATATTGTATCATATCATACCTTCATGAAGTAAAAACGGTTTGAAAGACGGTGGATCTCCAGGTGAAAAATACCGCTGACTCCTGACCAATTTTACTTTTCCATCTTTCAATATATCATATTCCTCAAATGTACCAGGAGGAAAAGGTTCCAACTTTTTGCTTTCACCATTTAATGCATGTTCAATTCCCACCAATCCTAAACAAGATAACAATGTTATCTAACACTTTCTCAATACGTACCAAAAATATTCCCGAATTGGTATGTTTAAGAATTTCCTTCACAGATCGAGTTAGTGAATGAATAAAAAAAATGATCTCTTGCTCACTCCCATGGGATGCTTACATTTTGCATAATACTGTGTGAAATTTGAACAATCTTTTTTAGACTCCACCAAAAGACAGGAGATCAGTCCCTGACAATTGGTAAAAGACTGAACAGTGAACACTGGTTTCTTTCAGAAAATTAATGAGGAAGTTTCCTTCAGAAGTATTTTCATAAAATAAGTTCGGAACTCTCCAGTTTTATGTACACGCTGTACAGAATGGCGACCGATAAAGTCCAAGTCATTTTTATTTTCAAATTAAAGCAATTTCTAATTTTCGGGGCGGCAAACTGTGACGTACATTCTGAATCTAGTCTGAAAATAGCTGATGGTGAAGAATTTAGCAAGAGAATAGCTAACGAATAGCTAACGAATGAATGAAAAACGAATGAAAAAAATAGAAGAAGTAAAACTGGTAAACAAAAACAGACATAACCACAAATGCACTCGGAGCAGGAAGGCAGAGGGTAGTTGGCTTCATTCTGACAGTTTATGGTTTTGTTATTTATGCATTGAAATATCTCGAATAGAGCTCGATCCTATACGAAAATATCGTTGAATCAATGAATCAGTATCGGCTACATTCAATAATACTGTCCTTCCTAATTTACTGTCATCGGTCAGAACAGAATGAAGCCGACACCCATGGCTCCTTCCCTCATGTTTTGAGTGGTGTGGACGGACTCGAAGTAATAGGCGCTGTTGCAAGATATTATACGCAACTTTCTTAGAAAATAGAACCGTTTTATCAAGGAACGAATTCATTAGCAAAAAAATGACTGAAAAGTTATGAATAACATATTGTAATATAACGATAGTCAGAGATTATCAATCAGAGATTATTAATCAGAGATTATTAATCAGAGATTATTAATCAGATGTTATTAATCTCTGCGATAGTGAAAAATTATAGATACTATCGCAAAATATCATAATTTATCTTTATTAGTAATCAATTTCATTCAGCCAATGAGAGATTTATAGGAATTATCCATAATACTTGACAAAGTAGGATTGAAGAACCTATTAAATCCCATTGCTGATATGATATAGTTATTATGCATTCAAAGAACAATTTCCGGAAATCTAGATATATTGATGATGTCGGCAACGTCGTACTGGCACAGGGAATCGTATTATGACTCTTGTGTGAATGTGGAGTTTCAAAAAATACGTCATAGGAATGGTGGAGGAGCCAAATTCCTCTTTTATATTTTTTTCTGAAGTGAAATTTGATCTTAAGAAAAAAAGAAAAAATACGAATAAGTATATTATTTTTTCCAAACTTCACAGTGAGATGAGAACCTCAATATAGGAAACTTCCCCATTAATTAGGTTATGAAATTTCCAGAAGAACCTAAGTTTTGATGTCATTCTGGTTCTGAATATTACTCTCAGAGAAATGTGACTGAACTCAAGGTCACAATAAGTGACATATCTTGAAGAATTTTAGGTGACTTTAGGAGATATGAATAATGGCTAAACTCAAGAGACAGTCCTCTGCAAATGGTATCTCATGTATCCCAAGTCTAGTTCGTCAAGAAATAATTTCAAAATCATTTCATAATCTCTGTCCAGAAGGTATATATCAACAGATGAATAAAATATGCAGATGATGAGCAAAAGCAATAAAACTCAGATTGGATTATTTTAATATCACAGTACTATGAGAAAAAAGTAAATGATTGTACTATGGAACCTTTTAAATTTTCTAGTGAACACAACTAAATATTTTTTTAATTTGATATTTTTATATAATTGTTCCAATTACAGACTTTGGCCCAAATAGTTTGATATAAAATAATATATTGTACCTTTGGCTTCAGAGCAGATCCCAAGAATTCCACTAGCACTAACAACTCTGAATAGAGGTCTAACACCATAAGGGTCTCTACCAAGGAGAACCTTCCGCTTTGGAACGTCTATGACACAAAAGGCAAAGACTCCATCCAGATTTTTAACACATTCTTCAATGCCAAATTTCTCATAGAGGTGGAATATACATTCAACATCGCTAAAGGTTTCATAGTTGAAGTTGAACTGTTCTTTCAACTAAAATACAAATTCAGTTAAGTTCTTTTCATATTATAAATTCAAACATTTGGAGTAGTTTGCGAAAGATAATGGAATTGTTCTTTTCATTTCCACCTACATATTTTCGAAAATATTGAAATAAACGTTTGCCTCAAGCCACCTTGGTATCAAGAAGAATGGATCCAAAAAAATATATTTATCTGCTCTTGTTTTACTGTTTTTGATAAATCAATGAGGTACATTCATTGTATGTCTTCAATTTCTTCCCCTTATCTGATAGCACAATGACTTCATTGCGAAAAAAAAAACATTTTTCGCTATTATCTGTTACAGCCGTACAAAAAGTATAGTGTATAACTCGCACGGTATGCAAAATTTTCACTCGTATGATTCATTGTCGTGGGTAATGACTAGCATTCCTTGCTTGTTAAACAATATACTATTTTTCTACAAACGTCAAAAAAGTACAAGATTCGCGCATTGATAACAATATACAAAGTGGCCCTTTTTTTCATTATGCAGTGTGCAACAAACATATTTCGCGCACTGCATGTAAACTACATGAGATTTTTGTATTTTAAATTAAAATTGAAGAAATCATTCATTTCTGAATGTTTAATAATAATTAAGGCTTTTGTTCAACACTATTTTTTATATAAATTATTTTAGTACAATAATTTTTGTAGTTTGTAGAAAAAAGTTTGTTTATGACTATCAAAAAAATCTGTTCTTTATTACCAAGGTAGCATTTTGCACACTAAATACAAAAATAACTGTACAGGGTGGCCCATGGAAAACGTTCCACCCATTTCAATTAATGAGAAACCGCTCGTACAGGTCCATTTCAATTTAGTGGGGGCCACATTTCCCTGCAATTATCATAATCAAAAGTTGAAACCTGGAAGAGTAACGACGGGCATCAACTTCTGATTTTCAAATGGAACCCCCTTTATTTAATTGCATCTTAAGAATCTCCCTGAAGAGGTTATTTCATCAATGTATCACTCTTTGGGTCTGTCTAGCGGGAATGATTAGAGATGTAAACACCCTGTATTTGTTCCAATTAAATGTCAGTAGATAGTGAATCAAAAGTTAAGATAAGGACATGAAAGCCGTTTTGACCGATATGAATAGTTTCGAACAAAAAAATTCTAAAGTTGAAAAATCTCGATTTTGAACACCCTATATCTCCGCATAGATCTAATATCTCCGTAATCATTCCCGCTAGACCCCAAGTGTGATGCATTGATGAAAGCAGCTCTTCAGGGTGAATCTAAAAATGCAAAGAAATAAAGGGTGTCCCATTTGAAAATCGAAAGTTGATGCCCTACAAGGTGTCAACTTAGGAAAATGATAATTGAGAAAAATCTGTCCCCCGCTATTAGTCCAATAAATAAAGGAGGAAAAAAAGGCAAAGTTAACGTTAATTACGCACTATTTTCATCTTCCGGTTGGAAGTAGCTTTTGGTACCTCATTAAACATGAGACAAAGTTTGACTAGAAAACGCGTGCGATGGCGGAGAAAATGGCCCCAAACGACCAGGAAAATAGGTTTTCAGCCAATATCTCCTAAAATATGGTAGTTAGAGATTTTCGGTTCAGATAAAAATTGAAGTTCAGTTAATTTTCTACAAAAATGGTCATTACCATTTTTCTCGAAAATTTGCCCGGTTTCGAGAAAAACGGCACGAAGCGCACCTCGAATAATGAGCTTCTGTGTTGTATGCCGGAGAGCACAGTCCGTGTATTTACACATCGGCGGGGGGACAAATCATTCAATATCTTTGTTAAAAATGCATATTTTCTCATGATTTAAATTTCATGTGAATGAGGAATTCTGCTGCTATCATACCCTGAGGGGCCGCATGGTTTGTAGCAGACGACCCGAGCGCCACGTAGAGCACACACGCGGCGAACGACGGAGGAACGAAAGTAATAAATTATAGCGTGTACATTTAGATATACTGGTTTTTTCCCGGGATATCAAAAGTATGACTTATATACATCGATGGAAAGGTGGGAATTCCCACGTTACACTAGTTCAGGTGTTAAAATGTTAGAAATAAAGAGCACGGAGAAAAAACCACCAAAAAAAAAAGTGCGTTTTTTTTTGACCCCGTTTTTTCTAATTTCATTGAAAAATGGACGACTTCGTCTAAAAAAGTAATTGCACAATCGAAAAGTAGACCTTCTTAGCTTTCAAATGATGTATCATAGAAACCAATCGGATCATGTATACATTTTTAATTGATGGTTGTTCACAAAATTTCCCCGCGCTCCAAAAACAGCAAAAAATTGGGATTCAATAAACAAAGATTAAATTAAAATTGAAAAAAATTAGGGTATACAAATTTCAGGGATGACAAAGGACCTTATGAGGACCCAAAATCAAGAAAATTTTGAGTGAATTAGTGCAATACAAAAATAATAGGATCAAATTCCTGGCGAGGTCAAAATTGACCGGGAGCAGAAAGTTTGACCCATGTTCCGATATGGCCAAAAGAGTCAAGCGTGACTCAATTCACAGGGTATGATAGCAGCAGAATTCCTCTTTCACATGAACTTTGAATCATGAGAAAATATGCATTTTTAACAAAGTTATTGAATAATTTGTCCCCCCGCCGATGTGTAAATACACGGACTGTGCTCTCCGGCATACAACACAGAAGCTCATTATTCGAGGTGCGCTTCGTGCCGTTTTTCTCGAAACCGGGCAAATTTTCGAGAAAAATGATAAGGACCATTTTTGTAGAAAATTAACGGAACTTCAATTTTTATCAGAACCGAAAATCTCTAATTGCTATATTTTAGGAGATATTGGCTGAAAACCTATTTTTCTGGTCTTTTGGGGCCATTTTCTCCGCCATCGCACGCGTTTTCCTGTCAAACTTTGTCTCATGTTTAATGAGGTACCAAAAGCTACTTCCAACCGGAAGATGAAAATAGTGCGTAATTAATGTTAACTTTTTCCCTTTATTTATTGGACTATATTGAAATCGCCCTGTCTGAGCGAATTTTTATTAACTACAACACAACAAAGAAAACTTGGGTGGAACATTTTCGATGGGCCACCCAGTATAACCAAACCTGAACAAAATGTTATACCCTTTTGCAGTTGTATAATTCTCCATTACAAATCAACATGGAATGAGGATATTGATGTAGTTTCATTGGTTGCATTCCATATGTACAGTCTACAATAGTGAGTCTGTGGAATCCAATACAACAGTTCTAAAAAAAGAAAGTGAAATGGAATAGTCTTGATGATATAATCCTCTATTGGGTATGCAGAAAAGTTCGAGAAAACATTTCCAATAGGTCGATTGAGATATTACTTTAAAATCAACTTGATACTGGTCAATGTTGATTGGTTCATATAAATGACCCTGAAACGACTCCGCACTTTCCTTATGGAAAATGGCTTTCGGTTAAATTCCCTGAATTTTTGGTATGATGTAGATTTTGACTTCCTAAGCAAAAGTGTCCATCGGCACAAAGAAATCGGCTGACTAGTTTTCGAGATACAGGGTGTCAAAGATGAGAAGTGAAGCTTTTGTGCTCAGAATTTTCAACAACTCCGAGAATTGACAAAACGGCCATTTATTCATGGAATAACATGCCTGCATGTCACCTGGATCTCGTATCCATTATAATTTTACGTTTTGGGCTCAACAACAGGGTGAACAAAGAAATATCCAATTCGATTAATTTCAAACCAACCAGGGTAAGTTCTTCCATATGAGAATCAAAGATCCAATTGGAGCCTGGACGAACTTTATCAATGTTGATCGAAGTTTACTGACATTTTTTTTATATACAGGGTGGTCCGAGAATAGGGGTACGTCAATCCCTAGTTTTTTGATTCGGAAAGGGCAGAGCATGTCATATATATATCAGACATTCTTTAATGTTGAGAACGTCGCATACTCATTTCTTATATATAGGGTGAGTAAAAAGATACAGTTCAAGTTTCTTGAAAAAATGCGTTTTTTTTTTTTCAATGAATACTCTGTATTTCGAAAAATAATCGGTTAATTCTCTTGAATTTTTGATATAATGTACGATTTGAGGAGTCCGAGATATTGTCATCAATAGCCCGAAATGGGCTATTTTCCAACAATTCATGTTGAAAAATCTTCGGACTAGATTAGTGCGGTACCTATTCCAAAAATGCAATACCTTATATACAGGGTGAATGAAATGTTTTTACTTGGAAGCCCTGATGTTTCCGAAGGAACTAGAGAAAATTGAAATCAGAAGCAATAACCCTCTCAAGGTTGGAACTAATTCTACAGTATCTGAAAGTTATTTCAATTCGAAGAAGAAATGACCAGGAAACGTACATATTTATTTTTTTCAGACTTTTAAATTTTGGGAGGTATAATACCTTCACCGTTCATTTGTTCATTGAATACTCAATATCCCAATTTTGTAGAAACCGCACATTCCACAGAAATCGTATAAAATATTCCTCTATCTGAATTAAAATAGCTTTCAAATATTGTAGAATTAGTTCCAACCTTGAGAGGGTTATTCCTTCTGATACATTTCAATTTTCTCTAGTTTCATCGGAAACAGGGCTTTCAAATGGAAAACATTTCATTCACCCTGTATATAAGGTATTGCATTTTTGGAATAGGTACTGCACTAATCTGATCGGAATATTTTTCAACATGAATTGTTGGAAAATAGCCCATTTCGGACTCCAATGGAGTAAATCGGGTATCAATAAAATCCGTACATTCAAAAGGATATAGCCGACAAACGAGTCCGGAGACCTATGCTAATATTGATGACAATATCTCGGACTCCTCAAATCGTACATTATATCAAAAATTCAAAAAAAATCAACTGATTCTTTTTTGAAATACAGAGTATTCATTGCAAAATACCGCATTTTTTCAAGAATCTTTTTACTCACCCTATATATATATGGAATGAGTATGCGACGTTCTCAACATTGAAGAATGTCTGATATATATATATGACATGCTCTCCCCTTTCCGATTCAGAAAACTAGGGATTGACGTACCCCTATTTTCGAACCACCCTGTATATAAAAAAAATATCAGAAAACTCCGATCGAGATTGAGAAAGTTCGTCCAGGCTTCAATTGGATCTTTAATTCTCATGGAAGAACTTACCCTGGTTGGTTTAAAATTAATCAAATTGGATTTTTCTTTGTTCACCCAGTTTGTAGAGCCCAAAACGTAAATTATAGTGGATACAAGATCCAGATGACATTGTACCATCATTCAGGCATGTTATTCCATGAATAAATGGGCGTTTTGTCAATTCTTGAAGTTGTTAAAAATTCTGGGCAGAAAGCTTCACTTTTCATCTTTGACACCCTGTATCTCGAAAACTACTCAGCTGATTTCTTTGTGCCCATGGACACTTTTGCTTAGGGAGTCAAAATGTCAAAATCTACATGATACTAAAAATTCATGAAATTTAACCCCAAGCCATTTTCCATAAGGAAAGTGCGGTCCTTTGGCCAATGAAAGTGGATTTTAGTTAACATAATATAATTATATCTATTATGCACAGCTGCACCCCAAATATCTCTAATATTTTTCTGGTTCCAGATATAAACAAATGCAATATATTCCATGCTTTCTATAAAAGATCATCAATAGTGTGCCATGAAGCATATTATTATAGGTAGGTATAGAAGTATAAATGCAACAAAACTCTAATGATAATAAAAATATTAATCCTCCCATGAGCAATATTTATGTTCATAAAATTGAAATCAAATTCAAATTATAGATGCATGGTCTTCTCATTTTCCAAATTTGATTTTCATACTTTTTATTCATTGCTTATTTTATAACATGGATATGGATCATTTTCTGCAAATGCCCGCCTTTATTGCAGTGTTATTTTTACCATAGTGAGCTGAAAAGTTCGAATTTCATCTCAATTTTCAGTATTTTCCAATAGTGATTGAAAATATAGAGGGTGAACTATCATCAAGTGATGGGATCTAATCGAGGATTTAATTGAACACCCAATATTTTTTCAATTTTTAACTTGTATTTTCCCTTGTTGAGCTGAAATGTGTAAGCAAAATGAGTTGCTTCAGATACTTAATTGATGGATGAAAATATTTCTTTCTGTATCACTGAATCTGTTAACTTCATAGATATAATATGTGATGGAAGTATAAGTAGAGGTAAGTTCCATGCATCTTATCTATAGATCTGAAAAAAAATATTTATTTCAAACAATAAAATATGGGAATAATCACACAACTCTTAGTTCTTGATGAACTATCTGAATTCTGAAGTAGCTCCAAATATGCCATCAAGAAAAACTAGGGATACTAAATATACTTTATCTAACCATATGGACAGTATTTCATCAATTTAAAAAAGAGGGGTTCAATTCATTTGGATTAGGGATTAGGTACCCCTTATTGTAGGTCATCAGTTGGCACACCAAGTACCTACATAGGTATAGGTACTTATATATATACAACATAATATACCATTAAAATGTGAGTATCACCTTCATACGTTCATCATATTCTACCCTCCAAGCATCTGGCCCACGATGTGAAATTTTTGAAAACGTTGAAGCACAGTGAGTGTGAAAGTTGGAGGAAAGACCAAAAACTGCCCATATTCCACACATACCTAATGTTTTTGATATACTAGAAATACAAAAATTAATGTTATCTTCAATATGATATCAAACATAAGCAGATAGTTGATAATTTTAGGGTGAAGAAAAAAATGAAGATAAATTGACCACTAGCTCATCATAATATGAATGAAGTTTTACCAAGATTGTGAAATTCCAGAAGACTTCAGGCACTAAAATATATGTTGATAACTTTTTTTTGAAATTTTCACGTAACAATATATGTTAAGATTGTTAAGAAACGATTAACAATGCTGATCTATCGGCTGCCCGTGCCCCGCCAACATTTAGAAATATATTTATTTATGATGAAATAATTCGAATTCTTGCAAAGTTCCTACTTTTTGAATTTGTAATGTCCGTGTCGCGTGTCATTGTTTCATCATTTCAACATTGTCAATGTAACAATGTATGTCGATGTCAATAAAGTCTGTCAATAACCGTTTCTCGATAGGCAGCGCCATCTTGGGCAGCGCCGAAACTCGCTAGAAACGTCTCTCGCCAGTTATTCAATTAGTAGCATCCCGCCATGACCGTTGAAATTGACGTTAAAGTCATTAAGATGACCGACAGAAGAAGACCTAGAGCCTCATTCACACAACCTCAGAATCAAAGGATTGAAATAGTCTTTCCAGTTTCCACAATAATTTGGATACGAATCGTGTTTTTTGGACTAATCATTAATTCAAGCATGCCACCACATTGTGCTATTGTACAATGCACAAAAAATGAAGCGAGAGACGAAGGAATATGATTTTTAGGTAGAAATAGTGATTTCACATAGTTATCATTATGAAATTCTGTCATTACTCATTAGAATTCTTTCTGCTACTTCTGCAATAAAAGCTCATACTGCTAGAGTGAAAATGTCTACATTATGCACACGATCATATTTCGTCAGCATGAGAGACCAATGAACTCAATGTTAACACCAACATTGAGTTAAATGTGAGACTTATTGCCTTCTTTTAAAAACTTCAAGAGTATTCCTATTAGCTCCTATTGCAGAAGGAATTCCAATGTGAAATGACAAAATTTCAATATGGAAACTATATGTGAGTTACTATAGTACTTATATTAGATCATACCTACCTGAAAAATCGGATTTCTTCGTCTCTCGCTGCATTTAATGTAATCCCCTTGTAAACAAAATAAAAAAGTAAGGTTGTGTTTCAATGATTTACAAAAGAGTGAGGTTGTGTTTCAAAATTTTACCTCCAGGGTCAGTCATCGTGCACGCGACCCATTGTGTCTGCATGGAAAAGGTGATTTTTTTCAACCGAACTCGTCCAAAATAATCTTTTTCTGAAAACTATATTTTTCGAAATATTACTTGTGACTATTTCACTCTTCGTCTACAGAATCAATCAGAATCGGCCATTTTCACGGTTTATTCTGTATTACAGCGATATTTTTTCGTTCACTGAATTTTATCGGACTTGTATTGTAGAATACAGAAGTCAAATTGACCAACACGAGACCAACCCTCCTCGTTTTTCAGCGATGAAATTTTGGACGTTTAAAACATCAATTATGTAGTGATGATCACGATGTAGTGATGGATGCTTGCAGTAGGCATCTTACTCGGGAGATTCTCGGGAGGAAGGAAAAACAATAAAAACATCGTTGAAAGGCAAAATCACTATACAAATGATCACAGTGGGTTGACGCCATGCCAGAATAAATCTCTCTGACCAAACTCAGCCTGCACAAAAATAATCATGAAAAAACCATATACGTATTAATAATCAATACGGATAATCTCTATCTGTTTCCATAGCGAAACATGAAGCCGATTTTTGAAGACAAATGACTATCCATAAGGAAAAGTTTTGAAACGATCAGACACATACTGGGCGTGTTTTTCATTCCATCGAAGACAGTGCGCACTGATAGATGCGGTTTTTTGTCGTGCCGTCACCAATTGTTCTGTTGGAATTTATGCTGGAAGGATTGAACAATGGTTTATACAACACATTGATGGAAATTCGGATTTTGTTGTGTGTCAGTCATCATGTATCTTGAGAATCAGAAGAGGCTAATTCGATTTTATTGATTAACACTGACTCTTTCTTCTAAAATCTCTCAAGAATCTCAAAAATCCTCAATATTAATTGTTTTCTATCAAATCAAAACAAAAAACAACATAATAGCGCATGGCGCATGCGTATCATGCCACCAAATCCTTATGGATATTCATTTGTTTCATATTTTTGGCTTCATCCTGGCACCCGTTATGATCCGTATTGTTTATTAATACGTATATGGAAAAAACATGGAAAAAACACGAATGTCAACATATCACGTGATGGGAATGGTTCGAAATATTTAGGAACTTCTGATTGACTGGAGACTGGGCATTTGTGTTTTGTGTTGGGTTTGGATCTTCTTAGGTTTGGGCACAGTACTGTGGTTTGGGCAAGGAGGGGTTTGGTCTAGGGACTAGGGTTGACGTGTAATTTTTTTCACATATTATTATCTGGAATTTATTTTAATTTAGGTTTATTGAAATAATATTCTACGGATAATAACTCACAACATGAGCCAAGACGTCAGAAAATTTGATATCAAAATAGTAAGTGAAAATTTTGAAGCTGCTCTTCACAAGGAAGATGATGTTCAAATTCAAGAATATTTGGACAGTTTTGAAGAACTCAACAGGTACGTTTTAACAAGGGTTTCAACATGACTGAATAATAATACTCTTGTTTGTGAGTGATGCTTACCTATTTTACAGATTCTTTACATTAATGGGCTCAATATTCAGTTTTGTTAGTAGTGATTTAAAAGCAAAAATAGATTTGCTGAGGGAATTTCTTGAAAATTCCAGGGATAATTTCTGTACTGTGAAACTTATGATTCAGTATGAAAAGGAAAATGATCTTCTCAACAAAAATGGTTATGAGTCTGGAAGTCGGACTCTACTTAGACTGCACAGAGGTTTAGGTGATATTCATTACAATATCTATATTATAATCTATGTGTGTATATCTGATCTGTATGATCAAATAAGAATTATAGATATATGGGATTGCATTTTTGGAGGCTGGTGAAGGTTCATATCACTGTTTCATTACCACCTTGCATCCATTATGGATATTTACTATTTGAGTGGTAAACTTGTCTGAGACCTGGGCAATGTAGATTATATTTTTTTTAGATTTCATACAATTGTTCTTGAAGAAAATTGGAGACCTCAAAAGTGCAGATAGTACATCCACTGCATGTAAAGAAGCATATGAACAAACCCTATCACAACATCATTCTTTTATAATAAGAAGTGGTGCTAGACTAGCAATGTTCACTCTTCCTACAAAAGATAATCTACTAAAACAGGTAAGAATATTGATTGAATTGAACTCATTCATTAGTATGTGAAATTCCAAAGGTTTGTGGTGAAGATAATGTACAATCAGCAATGGATATGCTACCAAAAACATTAGAAGTTTCTTCATCAGTACATCAAAGAATAGAGAAGTTATATACATTACATGATCTCCATAGCTTGCCCTAAGAAATCTTGTGTTTGTGTGTTCATGGATGGGTGTGCCTGCAAAATTTTGGAGGTATTTGTATTCTGAGATTATTGAGAATATGTTATTCAAGTGTCATTTGTATAATGAAGTGGATAATTCAAGCATATTGCTGTAAAATGTGAAAATGCTACTATTGATTTATATTCAATGTGTGGAAACTGCACATCTTTATTGTTTCTAAATGATTTATATTTATAAATAAATGCCTTTTACATATTCCATTGCCTACTTTTGTTGCTGATCATCAATAGTATTCTGTTGTTGTTCTGCCTCCTGTATTCTGTTTCTCCATGCAGTCATGTAACTTGTAGGATGAATTGGAAAAAAACCAGCAAGACCCAGTAATTGTTCCACAGGCTTTGAAACTACTGCTCCATTACCTATCCAATGTCGAATTCGCTCATAATTCAGAGACGTGAGTTTTTCATTATGCTCATTTGGGAGAGGATCATGTGTCCCAACTTGCTCTATCACTGGCATGTGTTGATCTTTTCTTTTTTCAGCAACAACTATATGGAAAAAAGGTCTATTGGTGCATCCTTGCCTGACAAACCGGATTACGAGAGCTGAACCTGCTGTGAAAATACCTGTGCCACTCGCGGGGTGCAACATGTTTATTTGTTTACCTAATATTTAGTATAATTATAATTAACTAACATAAAATTGTTAGCCATTAGCCTCACTTTTAGTCGTTTTTTTTTCAGCTTCAGCTGGAATGGCCATAACCACGACGATGAACGCCATTGCTTGATGCCAATGGGCTTTCCGGCTAAAGTGTATGCACTAGGCGACTGAATACTTCTTCTCATCCAAACTTCGAAGCGCCCGGGGCTGACACTTTTAACCATGATGAAATGGTTGAAAATAGACATCCAACTTTTTTTCAACTCAGTTTTATCGGCTTTACACAAATTCTATTTTTTAACACCCACGTGGAGTGGGCTGCCAGAATTTCCGAATTTCCCGATTGACCAGTGTCACGCGTTTTCCCCCTTTTGGATATCGAAATTCCTCACTTGCTTTTGTTCGATAATACGATTTATTTCGATGAGTAGAATAAACTCATTTGAAGGATTTAGTACCTATTCGAACGGAATTTTGAGTTAGGTTTATTGTCAAGTCGACACGTTTTGTTCATATGATAATTCATAAAGGAGTATAGGTAGATCTTATATTCCAATTTCAATTTCTTGGGTACTGGTACTGATGCAGGTACTGCTATAATGATCAATGTCAAACAAACAAAACAAACTGGTTCATCAAAGGTGGTTGGATAGATCTGTTGATCCTGGCTTCATACATGTTCGCCCTGTAATAACTTTGTCAAATCTGTGGAGTAACTCATTTTCGTCTCAATTCGAGTCACGGATGTGATGTGTGGCATGAATGTGATGCCCTTTAATATCTCTGGGATTAATCTGTTAGCTGGGGGTACCTGGCCCCTCGAACAATAAAAGCAGCGATCGAGGCCCCATCTTGATGAAACCATCATAGCCTCTCGTCAGTCGAGTTAGGGTTCATGATCGAGGGATTTGGAAATAAATGACATAACACTGGAATAGTTCGTGCTGGAAAAAATGCAAATATCTTAATCCAGTAATAGTGGCATCAACGAAAAATGGTCCTACAATCCTATCTGGTTTTATTTCAGCCCATACATTAGTGTTTTGTGGGCACTGATGACATGACTATATGAAGTACCTACACTCATTCAATGCGTTCTCTGCAGCACAACAACGACATTTTTGTGGCGATTTACGTGCCTATTTAATGTAAAAGTAGCTTCCTCTGAGAAAAGTATCCACTCTAAACATACAAATGATATTGATATTGATGGAACTATACAGGGTGAGTCATGACTTACCAGCCATAGCCTAATGGTGGATATAGAGGAAGTCAAGTTGAGTTGATATATATACCTATTATATTATGTAAAAAAATATATTTTGCCTTTATGTAACAGAAATACAGAGCATTATTTGAATTCGGGGCGAAATTTTGATGAACGCGATATTTATTCAGGAAGGTCTTGCTGTTATCGCCTGAAATTCACCAGCATTTTACCTCTACTGACACACCAGTCATAAAGATGGCCTACTTACTATATGAAAAAAAAAAAAAACTGCAGAGCCGGACTTGGGAAATTCATTTTCTTTTAAATGTCATAACTGTGACTTTCTGGATCGTATTTTTAAAAACTCTCTATGAGTGCAGCTTTTCAATTTGTACGGCACACTTCAACAATTTGATAAAAAAAATTTAAACAAAATACTGAGGAATGTTTCTTCGATTTCGTCTGGGCACATTACTATCTCTACATATATTCGACTCAAAGTATTCAAATCAATCAATCATCAGCATCAGACTAATCACAGCTTTCTGTCCGAACCGGCAACATGGTCAAGTCCATCGTGCATTTTCTCGCAACTCGCACCATAGACAAACCCAACTCTATGGCTCGCACACTGAAGTCACACGTTTTACGTTTGAATTCGCTCGTTGATTTTGGTGTATTCAATGTTTTTTTACGAGAAATTGAAGGAAAAAAATGTGAAAAATATGATGTAAGGTATTCCAGAGCCATATATTTCAAGAAATATTTTTTGTAGAAATGACTGATGGGAAGGTCCATTGTCCTATGAGGCAGTTACCTTAAACCGTAAAAGACTTCAATATCAACACTCCCCTATATTTATCCGCGAGTTATCATTTGATTTCGAAATGTTTTCAATGGCATATTTCAAATAACTCTCTTTAGTAGCATGATATGCATATTTCAAGATGCTTGAAAGCATTCAATAACCCTATCCCTTTGAAGATGATGAATTTCCTCAGATGTGAAACCCAAGTCAACCAAAATTTCTTTGGTATGTTCTCCAGTTTCTGGCAAAGGTTCCGTAGCTTTGGAGACTCCTGGAGTGTTACTCAATCTTGGATGAGGATTTGGAGCAACTATATCCCCTGTTTTGACGAAAGAGTCTCGAATGGCATTGTGAGGGAAATGAGGGGCTTCATCAATTGTTAAAACAGGGGCAACACAAGCGTCTGTGTATCCAAAAATCTCACTCCATTCGTCTCTAGTTTTTTCTAGAAATTTCTTCTTGAAGATATTTTTCACCTTTTCATACTCTCTAGAACTGCTTACTTGAGGGGCTTCTTCTTCTGTGAGTTGTAAACCTATATCAAATAAACCAAATGGAGTTCGTCAGTATTAGGCATTGGCTAGGCACTATACATTCTATTTATTTATTACTGACCTTTGAGCAGTACTTTATAAAACTGAGGCTCCAGCGCACCCACAGTTACAAACTTGCCATCCTTGGTCTTGTATACTTCATAATAGTGTCTTCCGCCATCTAAAGTATTCCTGCCCCTTTCATTACCCCAGAGCTGGTGTTTTTTGGCTCGATACAACCAGCTACCCAAATATGCAGAACCTTCCACCATTGTGTTGTCTACAATTTGGCCTAAACCAGATTTACTTCTTTCTATCAGTGCAAGAAGTATGCCTAATGTACAAGTAAGTCCACCACCTCCTATATCAGCTAGTAGGTTAACAGGTGGATTGGGATTTTCACCATAACGGCCAAATGTAGAGAGCAAGCCCGATAATGCTAGGTAGTTGATATCATGACCAGCATTTCTACTGTAAGGTCCTATGTGGCCATAGCCGGTTAGCCTAGCATATATTAGTTCAGGGTTGTCTTTCAATAGCACATCCGGTCCCAATCCTAGTCTTTCCATGACCCCTCTGCGGAACGGTTCTATAAGAACATCAGACTTACGAGATAGACATTTCACAATGTCAACTCCTTTAGGATGTTTCAGGTCTAGACTAATAGATTTTTTACCATTTCCAAGGCAGTCTAAAGTTGTGTCGAATCCAATCTATAAAGCCAAAATCAGTTGAAAATGTCAGTGACACTAATTCTAGGAGTACATCAATAGACAATATGGATCACTTTCAGTGACATATAAAACCTATGGATTCTCAATACTTGTCCAAAACTAGCCATATTATCAGATCACCTTGTCGATTCTCGTAACACTACCAGCCAGCACCATTCCACAAAATGGAACTGGAAGTAAACCATTGAATTCCAAAACTTTCAAACCTCTCAGAGCCATAGCTACCTATAATATAATATAGGCATTCACCATATAATTTAAATGAGTGCTTATCTTACTTTAAGTAGATCAAGGTTCATATCATGCTCGCGTTATATTTATTTATAGATTCAACAATCTTCTCTTTACAAGTCAATAATTATACAAGATATAGTTGAAAAACCTACTGGTCGGTAGGTATACCTATACTTATACAGGGTGCTTCTACACGTCATGTACATATCGAGAATTGTGATTTCGTGGTTTATTTTAGAACTGACAGGTAGTTCCAATGAACATATGTCATGTCTGGAATTGCTTCGTTTTCGATATATAGGCGGTCAAAGTCTTTTTGTCCACCCAGTATAGTTTTTTGTGATGGCAAAATTTTGGCTGATATGTGACTGAGATGAAGCAGAAATCTCATAATGACACCATGATATATTTCATTATATCCCAATATTATGATGTACAGGTAGGTATACCTATATGTTTTGGGTGATTTACTCCTGTCAATATCTAGGTCAACAGAGGTTTCAAATAAAAACTTTCACGAAAATATAAGACCTATATAATGTCCATCAAAATCTTAACAATATGATATCACCAACATAATTCACCCTCCACCTTTTTTATTCCACTCAAAACTCATGTCATTTGTGTTCTGTTTTCATAATAATAATAATATATGTAGTACATTATTGTACAAATTGCTCCACAAAAGTTATCAATATTTTCAATGTTGTATGCAATACCACATAATAATATATCTTCTTTTTCATCTTGAACTGTCCATGTATACACACAAACTCATGGTATACCACCTTTTTCTCCTTTGTTTTTCTAGCTACCTATATCTCTGGAATTTGGAAAATCAAATATGCTCACTAGAGGACTCTTTCTAACATTTCAGGAGTTTTTATTCATCTTCTGGTAACCCTGGACGTTACATCAATTTTCGATTTTCAAATGGAACACCCTGTACTTTGATTCATAATATGACGAACTCAAACAATACCGGGTTTGATTGGGTTTTTTAAAACGGTTACGAAGATATTCGCGTTAAGTTTCCATTTTTATGATCAACAAAAAAAGAAGTTTCGATATTGTGCCGTCCCACCCATTGATCATAATGATCATATGGAAACTTCAAACGCGAATATCTTCATAACCGTTTGAAATAACCCATTTAAAACCAGTATCGTTGAATTTATTATAGAATAAAATACAGGGTGTTACATTTTAAAATCGAAGGTTGATGTAATTTCTAGGGAAACCGGAAGATGAATAAAAATCCTAAAATGTGAGAAAGTGATCTCTAGTGAGCATTTTCGATATTCCAAATTTCAGAAATATTGGTAAAAAAACAAAGGAGGAAATGAGTCTTTGGTTGCCGACCGGACTGACCGAGCGGTCGTTAATGTCACGTGACTGATCACAATGATTGGTTTCGACCGGTCGCTTGTATACAAAAACGTATATGGTCAATCTATAATTTAATATACTAAAAATAACACATATCCTGATATCCTAAAATTCAGATATATATAAGGAATCATCTGTTTTGTCAGTCATTGAATTACTCGAGATAGATTTTGTGAATGGAATAGTAATTTTGAACTGCCTACCAGATATTTTTCGTTCGAATGAATCATACAGTGATGTAATAACGCTATTTTTGCTAAATTATGAGCAATTTGAGTCACTCATTTTGAAGACTGTAGATATCCTTGCCACTATATTGACTATTTTCGAGTAATTGGATAGTTTTGAGGTTATATTTTATATCCTTGAACCACATATCGACCATCAAAAAGCCCGGGCGATGTGGTCTTGGATCGGTCGGTCCTGGGTCTTCATTAAAAAACGTTATTTGGAGATCGGTCAATAGGGTTATTATCAATTAAAAACTCTGCGGTCGAAGTGTGGTCCAAGTGGTCGCAACCGGTCGGCAATCAAAAACTCTCAATTATTTATTGCACAGAATCCTCTTACTCTTTTTTTCTACAAACGTCAAAAAATGGAACATCGTGCAAAGGAAGGATAGGTAAAGGCCTTTTAAGCCAGTTCAACACTATTTTTTATATTAAGCTAAGCATATTACTACTTTAGAACTATATTTCTTGACGTGTAGAAAAAATGTTGTTTGCAACTTGTGAGCATGTTTAAAAAAATGTATGGTGTATAGAGCTATGAGAAGAAAACGATTTGTGACAGTAAATTACTTTGGATTAGTATTACAAAATAATAAAATGAAATGTTTCACTGCTGAAACAGGCCCATAATAATTAAATAAATTATTAGACAAATTTGTTACTGGAAAACATACTGAAACATCAATGCATCAATCATGTTATACTATATAGAGAACACTGATATCTTTGGCACATTAAAATCATTGCAATGTTTTAATACTCACCATACTGATCTTGAAACTGATGCTAACACAGGGAAAGATGTATAAAATAATTGAAATATTGATTTGGTTAGTAATAATATAGTGTAAGTAGGTAGTGAGATTACCTATAACTATATATGAAGCAGTTTATCTCAAAGCAACATGATATAAGGTTAATGAAAATAAAATCAATTCTAAAATGATAATGATAATTATTGACTATCACAGCTTGGACTTTTTGTGGCATTCAACAACTCCCTCATGCTCAAGCTTGTCAATATCATGTGAGCTATACCCTAAGCCAATCAATATTTCTTTAGTGTGTTCTCCTCGTATAGGTATAGGTTCAGTTGCTTTTGATATCCCAGGAGTTTGACTCAGCCTCGGGTGAGGGTTTGGTGCATATATGTCTTCGATTTGAACAAAAGTTTGTTGAGCCACATTGTGTGGGTGCTGTGGAGCTTCATCAAGTGTTAGAATGGGAGTGACACATGCTTCTTTGGAATCGAAGATTTCACACCACTGGTCCTGAGTTTTTTCTAAGAACTTTTTTCTAAAGAGTTTCTTTAGTTTATCGAAATCACCGCCAATTTGGGGAGCTTCTTCTTCACTGAGTTGAAGACCTATCACCAGATAAATGGATTCATTTTTACTACAGCTACAATTCCAATTGGTGAAGACTTTATGTGAAATATTTTGTTTTATATTGAGTGTTTCTTATTTGTTTGTTCATTTATATTCTAGCTGTGAATATTTTAAATGGGGAACAAATATTATTATATATTTATATCCATCTATCAAAACCAGTTTTCCTTAGTTCTCAAGACTATTATTATGATTTCATGATTCAATTAGTACATCCATTGTCTGCTCAATATGGAGAAAAAACTGTAACTTCAATGATGAAATAAACCTCTCTCATCATTGTAACCATTTAAAAGGGTACAGATTATTTTTGTCATCTACAGGGTGTCCGCTAAAAGGAGGTCAATCCATTAACCACATATTCCTTGAACAAAAACAATATGAGTTTCTAAATACCATTTTTCATTTTAGCCCTTCATATTCGATATACAGGGTGTCAAAGTTGAAAATTAAAAACTGTTTTTTCTAATTACTCGCGTGTTTGATAAGATATTAATCTCAAAATTGGTACATTATTTCAGCACAAAGAGTTACATTGTGTGAGGAAAACATAACAGAAAATTACTGTAAAATATTCAAAATACGGGGGGTCAAGTACACACTTACCCCCATATTTTTTTTGTACGTGCGCTAATGACTTTCTTGAAAAATTTCGATTAAATCATTTGTTTTTAAGATAATTCGAAAAGTAATAATGTTCACATACTCCTATTTATTTCGTCCAAATTGGGAGAGGGCGTATCTTTTTACGTACGAAAAGGTAAATATGGAAATACCGGGTGCTCAGAGCAAATGTACTGAGCATCCGGTATTTCCATATTTACCTTTCCGTACGTAATAAGATACGCCCTCTTCCAATTTCGAAATAAATAGGAGTATGTGAACATTATGAGATTACCGTAAGCCGCGAGGCATCAAACAATAACCAGTACTGTTCGAATTATCTTAAAAACAAATAATTTTATCGGAATTTTACAAAAATCAAAAAATACTCAAAAATGATTGAACACTTGAAGAAAAATAGATAGGAAGTCATTAGCGCACGTACAAAAAAAATGGGGGTAAGTGTGTACTTGACTCCCAGTATTTTGAATATTTGACAGTAATTTTCTGTTATGTTTTCCTCACACAATGTAACTCTTTGTGCTGAAATAATGTACCAATTTTGAGATTAATATCTTATTAATTACACGAGTAATTAGCAAAAAAAAGTTTTTAATTTCCAACTTTGACACCCTGTATATCGAATAAGAAGGGCTAAAATGAAAAATGGTATTTAGAAACTCATATTATTTTTGTTCAAGGAATATATGGTTAATGGATAGACCTCCTTTTAACAGACACCCTGTATATATCTCATTCCAATCATTTACCCAACACTGGTTTGGGTGTTTCAGATGTCAGAGGGAAAAATTCAATCAGTCATAAGAAATAAAAAGAACAGTTTTTATGAACTTGTATGTTTTCAAGTTTCATATTTGAGACACAGGGAGTTGAAGTTTTTATTGATAGCTTGATATAATACCTTAGCATGTAAGAATAATTTACCAAAGCATATTATACTGGGTGTCTCACAAGTAATGGATCAGAAAAAGTGGGGTGGTAGGGGGGTGTCATTTCCTATCAAAGTAACCATATATGTGGTTATCCAATTTGTTGATGGTTCAAAAAGTATAATTTTTGTTTCATTTCTATGAAAAAAAAATGATTACAATAAAACTATGTCACATATTTGTGATTTTTTCTTTTATAAATTTCATCTGCATGGATGCACCTCTCCCCAGAAATAATTTTATGGCCTGTGCTACTTCATATCAATCACCTATAAAAACTGTTGTTTTCCTCAAGTTATGTCATTGAATGAAATATTTCAGTTGATTCTTGAATGCAGAAACTACCCCACAAAGATAACCAGTTATCATTTTTCAGAAAAAACTAATAACTTTTGAAATATCAACAAATTGATAACCACATATACCATAAGTTTCATTGCAAATGACCCCCTCCCCCTTCCACCACACTTCTTTTGATCCATGACTTAATGGACTCTCTGTATATTTTTTCCAGATAGCACAAAAGGAAATCCTTGTTATTAATATCAACATGTACACTTCTAAGTTGTTGATTCTTGACTCTTTCAATTGTGCACAACTCTGATGGTTGGATTACTTACTTACCTACTTTCACTCAACTTACCCTCCAATAGCTCTTGATAAAACTGTGGTTCTAAAGCACCAACTGACAAATATTTGCCATCCTTAGTTTCATATACTTCATAAAAATGTGTTCCACTGTCCAAAATATTCTTTCCTCTTTCATCTCCCCACAGCATGGATTTTTTACCCCTGTAGAGCCAACTACCTAAGTAAGCAGTGCCCTCTACCATTGAATTTTCAACAACCTGTCCTTTACAGGATTTGTTCCTTTCTATCAATGCCAGAAGGATACCTAAACAACATAACATCCCTCCTCCTGCAATATCAGCTAGTACATTTACTGGTGGACTTGGATTTTGACCATGTCTTCCAAACAGAGACAACAAGCCAGATATTGCTACATAGTTGATATCATGACCAGCACTTTTACTGAACTTTCCCGTTTGACCATATCCATTTAGCCTAGCATATATAAGTTTAGGATTCTCCTTCAACAAAACATCTGGCCCCAAACCCAATTTTTCCATAACTCCTTTGCGGAATGGTTCAATGAGTACATCTGCATTTCTAGATAGGGATTTCAAGATATCAATTGCCTTGCAGTGTTTTAGGTTCAAACTTATGGACTTTTTTCCATTTCCTAAAACATCTAAAGTAGTATCCACCCCAATCTAAAAATTGTGTTACATACAATTCTAGTACAAAAGATATCATCTGATATGAATACCCTATCAACTCTGATGACACTGGCTCCAAAATCAGCTAGAACCATCCCACAATAAGGCACAGGAAGTAAGCCTGATAATTCCAAAACTTTCAGGTTTTTCAGAGGCATCTCTCAAGTCGTCTGCTCAGAAAAGTTTCAATTCAAATTTCAAACTCACAACTCATTACTCACGCTCCAGCATGGAGAGGGAGGTTTAATACTAGCACAGTAGAGAGCTATACGCTATACTAGTTTCTATGAGCTCCAGTAATCTCAATTCTCAAATCTCAAGTAGGTTTTCTAGAACTGTATAACAGAACCTCATAAACATAAAAATATGGTGGGACTTTGAAGTTTGAACTTTGAAGCAACAAGCCAATAAGCCAACGCCAACAAGCAAACAAGCCGTTGTCTGCTCAAGCTCAATATTGAGAAAAAATCTAGTGAGCTCGAACTAGGGGCTATATTATGGCTATATTGCGAATTCAACTGACACTGAATCTGCTGAATTTTCATTCCGAAATAAAAAAAAAATGACTGGAAGTGACAAGATACTCGTGAGCAGATATACTCTTGATATTCTCTTGATATACTATTCATTCCAAATATTTCGACTCAACATTCTTCTGAAATTGCTGACTATCAAAAGGTAGTGTGGCTTCAGTGAACTATCATTATTTTTGAGGGGAAAGGAATGGCACATTCATTTCCGTTGTTTTTCAAACTTTAAGTCTTGGCTTATCAATAATACATTGATAATATCATTTTGATATCAGAAAATGCCTGTTATTTATTTAGCTCAAGCAGGAGCATCTGCCAGATCAATGACAAGACAACTGACAAATTTCACCAGCTGATCAACTGCTGCTGATTAGCTGATTACTGATGAAAACGTGTTCCGAATTACAGCACTGTATTTTTGATTTTATATTTCGGAACACAGCTTTTCAGCAGAGTCAGTGGATCTACTGACAGTACTGACCAGTTGAATTCGGAATATAGCCAGTCAATTATTTAAGCAACTAGCGGCAGTAGTGGCACGAATCCAGAAATTGAATCAACGCATATTTGGTGCAGTCAGAGATTATACACTAGTGATTGTGGTGATAGGACAAACTTTTCTGAGAGTATTTACAAAGAATATAGGTTAGAAGATTTATTTGACCAGGAAATGAACATATGAATTATGAAACCTGTCTTCCTCGAAAGGACCAGTGAAGAGACATATTATACCATAAACCTGTGAACCTCACGATAAAAATGTCAACAATCTTGATCTTCCCGTGATCTTCTACTTAGTTCTACCAAGTTCTACTTTCAAACAGTTTCGTTTCTCGCATATATCTACTACTCATTTTCATTACTCAAATACTCATATATAGAGTATGAAGCTGAAGCATAGCTCTCCTCAGTCCTCAGTCTCCTCAAAGCGCCGCTGTTTCCATCCTCCACTACCTCTCATGTTGGTCCCATTTTTGTTGAGATATCGTATAGACGATGCGCCATATATAGAAATAGTACATATATGTCTAAAAATCATTGAAAAAAGGGCCCCTTGATTTAAATTCCCCTACAAAGTCATGGTTGTTTGAATTTTTGCTGCTTCGTTGGCTATATTACCTATCATATGTCAACGCTAAACAGTCAACATTATAATGAAAAATTCCCCCAGAAAAGAAGTTGCTTACTTGCTTGATGCTTCCGTTCTGTCTTTTGTCTTTTCCATTTCGCCTTTAGCACGTGTCGGATTATTGTGCTGTTTTTCAAAAATACACATCCAAAATGGGTAAAGGTAATAATATGATTCCGAATGGCCATTTCCACAAGGATTGGCAACGTTTTGTGAAAACATGGTTCAACCAGCCCGCTCGCAAGTTCCGTAGAAGGCAAAACCGCATCAAGAAGGCCCGCGCTATCGCCCCTAGACCAGCTGCCGGACCTCTGAGACCTGTGGTAAGATGCCCCACAGTCAGATACCACACTAAAGTTCGCGCTGGTCGTGGATTCACTCTGCAAGAATTAAAAGCAGCAGGACTTAACCCTAGATTTGCCAGGACAGTTGGTATCGCCGTTGACCCACGTAGGAGAAACAAATCTGTGGAATCAATTCAATTGAATGCACAGCGTCTAAAGGAGTACAGATCCAAATTGATTCTGTTCCCAGTGCATAACAACAAGAAACTCCGTGCAGGTGAAGCCACTGAAGATGAACGTAAAGTTGCTACTCAGTTGACTGGTGAGGTACTTCCAATCCGTCAGCCAAGCATTAGGACCAGGGCTAGAGTGCCTACTGAAGAAGAGAAGAAATTCGAGGCATATGTTACCTTGAGGAAGGCTCGTGCTGATAAACGTTTGGTTGGTATTAGAGCCAAGAGGGTAAAAGATGCTGCTGAGAACCCTGATGATGTGACTAAAGCTGCACCCAGCAAAGAAAAGAAAGCAAAGAAATGAAATTTAGTATAAATACACAAAATAAAAAACATTTGTTTTCAAATTATGTTTTTCTGTTGAAGGTCTTATCAATCATTCATTATTACCCTCCATTTAATTTATTCCCTTTTCTACCTACAATGATGAGTAATTATTGACTCCAGGATTCCTATTCAAGTCAGAAATATTTCTCAAAAACTTTGGTCAGAAAATGGTTACTGAAAAATATAAATTAAATCAAATATTCCAGGTAGGTAAATCAATAATTTGTTGCTAAAATTATAGCTTTGGAATATTATACTATTGCCTTTGATGGAATGAATTTTGCAAGTGTATTTTCAGGTTTGAAATCAAAGAGTCATTTTTACCAAGTTTACCCACAAAAAACATGTTGAATTTAGATAGAGGAAGCATTCTTCTCAAAAAAAAAAACGAGAAACTAATGTTTTTCTTAATACATTAGATCTAATAACCATTCAAAAAACCTTTACAGATCACTGATTGATGGTGACAATAAGGAGGTATAATTTAAACATGCTAATTTTTTCTGATGTAATCAGCTTGTTGAACAGTGCATTTTTATTGAATTAAGTATTATGATTTTTTAGAAAATTAAATGTTTCAGAGAAAAACTGCCTACACAGCATGTAATGGATCATGACATTTGCCTCTATGATAACATAGCAATAATGACAATGTATTTAGATTTTCATGAAAATTTGAAATGAAGTGAATTTCTTCCCCTTTTTTCATCTCTACTTGAGTCCCTCTTAACAAAATAATCGGATGTGATGAAGAGGAATACATAAAGGCAGGATATTTCAGAATAACAAAAGCATTTATTCATTTTTGCAATTCCATATAATTCAAATAAAATATAAAAATTTATATTTCTTTAGGTATATATAATTTTTGAGATTATAATACATACATACAAAATCTATATCACAGAGGATATTCCAAAAGGCAATGTCACATGAATTTGATACAATGTTAATAATACTACTACATGTAAAAAGGAATAGATCAACAAATACAGGGTAAATTGAATTTAGGTTACTAACACTATGGTGAAAAGTAGCAAATGTTGAGAATGTAGTTATAGTCTATTCTCTTTTGTTTTGCTAACGATAGAATCACACACATCTCTTTCAATGATAATTAAGTAAATGGTGATGAAAAATGGGTACAAAAATAGTAGGTATTTATTGTTTCATTTGGACATCAATTGATACTACTTTGTGGAATGTTGGTAAGTTTTGAAAACTATCAATATTATGTTTGGTTCTTACTGATAGATAGGTATCATAAAATAAAAATATAATAACTGAAATAATATATGCAGAGGGAGTTTAAAAAAACCTGTTCCCCTTGCTAGGGTAGGTAGAACACTACAAAATAATAGGTTTGCTCAGTAATAAATGCGTCGTAACAGCATCCGTTTTCAAAATACAAGAAATACAAGTTGCTGAAAAAATATTTTTTTTTACACAATATTTGAGATTACGTCAAGATTAGAATGAAATTTTGTATGGATGTTTTTTGGAAGCTAACACATCAGATGCATTTGTTTTTATATCTGACTCTCAAAGAGGGCACTAGTTACATGGTTCCTAGGTACCAAATAGTTTCAAACATAACTGTTTTTGGGGTTAGATTTTTCGATGCAAATTTGATGTGGACTGGAACATCATTCAATTTTATAAAAAGAACGTAGGTACTCTTGGTAAAACTCGATACTGTGTTCTGATATGATATTGATAATGCCTAATAATATGCCATTTTTAGGGTCTTATTTTTCATCTTATCAAGAGCTTCACTTTACGTCATATGGAGTACTATAATACAAATCGACTGATCTATTATAAAATAATAAATTGTCGCCATTTTAAAGTGAAACACCGCTGTTTGTTTATAAACTATCATAATATTTCTCGGTAATTTTTTCACAAAAACTTGTCGGCTTGTAGTATCATGAGCCGTGGAGTCGATATCAAAAGTTTTTAATATTGAGTACCTATACACTTGAAAAATTAAAAATCTTACAAGGAAGTTGATGTTACAGTACTAACGCCATGAACAAAAATGGCTGGTGGTAGATTTCTGGATAAAATTTCTAAGCTATTATAGAATTGTTCTAATTTACCATTGTCAGAAGGAGGAGGAGGTAAATATATAAACGTTACTGCCGTTTCTTCAGTTTGTTGTAGTATCAAGGTATTTACACTGAAAAAAAAAGAGACATTCATATAGTCATTACATTACAGCAGTCATATCGTATACAGTGTGACCTAGATAAAGTTGCACAGCATGCGGAAGCGGGAGGAGATACGAATTCGGTTAAATGGGAAAAATGTTGCGAATTCAGATGGTCACACCAACGGCCTTCGAAAATTTTCAAAATTAATTTTAGTTTTTCAGTTATATCCAAAAAACTGAATCATCGGAAAACCTATTTTATCTTATTTCTACGTTAATATTAGATTCAGAAGAACTGAAAATACTTTTCCATAGCAACTTTTGATGGTATTCGATTGTTATGGAGAATGAGAAATATTTGGACATGCTGATTGCTTGAAAAAGTCAAGAATTAACTATAATGCCATGAGTTCCTCCTATTACGTTTTATTCAACAACATGACTCTTACATCTTTTTGATAACTTGATTTATAATTGGTGACTTGACAACCTTGCTTCATGAGTGGAAATGGAAGATTATCTGACCAATAACGTCACCATTAATTCGCCAAATGGCCGCCATGACGTTACGTTTGAAATGAGCTCTGAAATTCAACGATTTTGAACAACGCAGACTTATTATTTGCATAAAAAGGCGTGAAAGGTGTTACAAAAATTAATTTTAAAGTTTATCAAAAATTAGTTGAACATTCTCCCTAATATGATTATGAATCATTGCTTCATTATACTAGGTGGGCCAAAAAAGTCACCCTATCGGAAGATGCTCTTATTTTTGCGAATGGCGGCTAATGTCGAATCTGTTTTGACGTTTGTGAACTAGACAGATGTAGAATACAGGTGAACAAGCCATGGAGCGGAATAATCCAGGCCAAGCCATCCTCAATCTCATGGACGATTTTTCGTCCAAAATCATAATGAGCGACGAGGCTCATTCCCACCTCAGCGGGTACGTGAACAAGCAGAACTATCGCTTCTGGGGCACCGAGAATCCACGAGTGATGCACGAGGAGCCATTACACCCTCTCAAAGTTACTGCATGGTGCGCTGTTCACTCTGGAGGAGTCATCGGGCCATTTTTTTCGAGGACGCCGCTGGTCAACCGACAACAGTGGACGGTGCGCGCTATTGACCATTCTAGAACACGTGATTTCGACATGGTTTCTTGAGGGGCACACAAACTATCTGTTAGGTTACCATTGATGAGCATAGCCCTGGCCATTCCTGCCACATTCCACAATATAATAACAGTTTTACCAAACAAAATTATGACATTTTTTCTGGTTTCAACTCGGAGTCCAAGGAGAACAATCCCACTAATTCTGGTTTTATATGACAAATCTTGACAAAATACAATTTTTGCCCCTCAGCAACCTGTCAAATCACGTAATTCTGGAATGATTAATAGGGCCATGTTAACCGAGTTTTTTCTGCCGCAATTGACGAATTAGGACTGGAGGACATGTGGTTCCAACAGGACGGAGCAACGGCACACACTGCGCGAGCGAGGCGTTCCCGGGTCGCCTCATCTCTCGTTTTGGCGATTTGCTCTGGCCCGCAAGATCGCCCGATTTAACCATCCCCGACTTTTTTTGTGGGGTTTCTTGAAGTCTTGTGTTTACTTGAAAAAGCCCGAGACCCTGGAAGCCCTCAAGGACAACATTCGACACAAGTGCGAGAATCTGTCGCCCGAAGTTCTCGCCTAAGTAATGAAAAATGCCATAAAACGAGCCCGTATAGCAATCAATTGTGGCGGTGCCCATTTGGCCGATATCATCTTCTCGATTTGACCAATAAAATTCTTAAGGTTCAAATAAACATAACCAAAAAACATAATCGAAGCTTTTCATTTAGGAAAAAAATGAGAGCCAAACGTCCATGGCCAAACAACATCGGATGATTTCTTTTGGCCCACCTTGTGTAATACATGAATGGAACAAGTTTGCATTAAGAAAAATGAAAATATCTCAATGAGGTTGAAGATTATGACAATTACTAGTTGAGTGGTGATAATGATTTTTATCGAGCAAATGATACTGACCCATTTCATAAATTCAACGAAATAAATCGAATTCACTCAATTTGTTTCAGATCATCCTAATCAACAACTCACTCATAATATCGTATATGCGTTATTTTTATAATTTAGGAAAATTTGTCATTTGCTTCCTTATTCAGGTGTACTTTATGTATGATATAATATTTGCAACTTGTCATTTGCTTCCTTATTCAGGTGTACTTTATGTATGATATAATATTTGCAATTTCTTAGGGCGAAATGGAAGACAGAATAGTAGTAGTTGAAACATAATCAGTGTAATTCTGGTAAACTAATACACAACTCAATGTTGGTATTCTGACTGTGAAATATGTCAGTTTTGGAACAGGAGGGCGCCAAAAATGTACAGGATATATAGGGTTTACCGGGATACGTCACGGTGTCCCGGCGGCCCAGCAAACTTCACACGCGGGAGGAAATGGATACCTTTGCTCCCTTGATATATCAATAGCTATTATTGGATTTCTACTTTAGCAAAAAATTTTCACTGAAACAGGCCCAGTGCCGACGAAAATCGGGACTCTGTGGAGCACTCACCTCCTCAAATACCTGTCGTCATCGCATCCGTGCGACTCGATCACCGCCCGCCATCCGTGCACCGGGAACAACTCCGCCTCTATGCGCAGCCGCCGCAGCATGTGCCTCAGCCTATCCGAGTGGCTCTGCGCGGACGAGTCGAGCGAGAAGTAGCTGGTGCGCGCCTCGTCGCACACGCACACGCGCAGCCGCAGCTTGCTCCACCTACAAGAAGTTCCAATCTCGTGGGCATAAGGAGGGTTTAATCAAGGAGACTATACACACAAGGTGTGCTCAAAACCCATGACAGGCAATTGTTTAAGAAAGAGATGCAAGAAGCTGCATGTCCACTGACGTCACACGCCATGGCATTCAAGATTTCGTTGAAGTGTGTCAAATTAGTCGATTTCACACTTCGTCTGTCAGCATTGGGAATGGGAAACATAAACAAAACATTGCAAAGAAAAGTAATTTCCATGTAATTCGATAAATTCATTTTCGGCGAGGATTAAGGTACTCCTTGGTCCTGAAGCGTTCATAAATTGGTTTTCATGGTCCCAACTGATGGAATCATCTTTGGAATATGGAACCTTTTGATGATCAAAGGAATCTTCAGAATGTAAGTATACGTATAATTAGATAGTATAATCACAGGTATAATAACTGGTAAAATTTCAACATTCTCTGATTTCTCAAGATAGTAAGTGATAAGAATAATTAAATTGGTTGCAATGGTTGCTCACCACTTGATGAGCGAAGATGCAAATTCATATTCAATACTGATCCTGGGAGATAGAGTTGTTCATTGAATAGCTTGTATTAGTTGAACTAAATGTATATGTATATAAGTAGCAAATCATTATTAGGTATTTCATCCTCATGTTTTTATGTTTTTTAGAGATTGCATGTGATCATACCTCAAAGCATCTCAAAGAAATGTGAATGGTAAAATTTATGCCAAGTGGATAGTCACAACAGAAGACCCAAGGCCACAAGAAATCAGGGCAAGATGGAATGTGAGTTCCAGATTTCAGTTATCTGAAGTAAAATAACTGAAAACAAGACATATAGAAGAAAATAATACATTCATTTTTAGTTACATCTGTATGTTCCTGTCATATACCTAACTATAAAGGCTATTATTATTTGTAACTGCTGCACCCATATTTTTAACAAATCTTCGAAATCTATAATAAAAAATGATATTTCTTCTGTTAGCTGAAAACTGACATAAAATTGACTTCAAAGTCTGTCAAAGTTGTCACATCACAACACAATCACAACACAATCACAACATCCTCACAGGCCATGACCACATGTCCACTGACGTCACGAATGCAAGAGAGACTGGTCGCTCCTGATTGGTTCACGACTGGATTGAGCACTCCTTGTGTGTATAGTCTCCTTGGGGTTTGATCACATTAAGGACTAGATTAGGTTAGGTTAGGTTAAACGTGAGTGGGCCCATGTCAGGCCCTCCACTGCGGCCTATTGCCTATTGTGGCTCACCCTATGGTTATTTTTCTCCCAGTATATTTAATCTCTTGGCGAAATTAAGAAGTACGTTGGGAGAACAATATATCAGGTTTCCTGACATTGCCAAATGTTGAAAATCTGATTCTGGCCGCTGCAGGGCATGTACATTAGCCGTTTCATCCTCCTCCATGCATAGACGGCACTCTGCATCTTGTGCATTAAGGACTAAGGACTATGATACTTTTATGCACCACCACCACATTTTTTTAAATTTTAAACTCTTCTACTTGATCAAAACATAGTCCTCAGCGTACTTAGTCCGATGAAAATATTTGTGTTATAACATTCAGTGATCACATAATTACAATAAGAATCATTCATTCACATTCAAAGTGAGTATAATTTGAACATAACACTAGAATTTTTAGAATTTTCAACCACATTTTGGAAAAGAAGAGCAATAAATTGTTTGCCTTATTTCTGACTCATGCCTGGGCAAGTCACAGTTTTATTTGTATTTGTTGTTAAGAGATAAAAGTTGGTCATCTTTTAGCGAATAGTTAATGAAAGGTAAAATTAAATTTAGTAGCATGAATGAATGAACGGGAATATCAAGTTTTAACTTTTTAGTGAAATCGTCTATGAATGTGAAATTACAGATCAATGAAAAAGCGGTGTGCAAGACCAGTCTCTATGGTGGTTATCGCATATTCAAATGCTTAAAAAATATATCTCCCATTGTTGGCATATTATAAAAATCCAGTTCTTTTATACCTCTCAACAAGTTGGCTACCATAATCATCAGTCTCATGTGATCCATACTCTAAAGTTATCTACAGATCACGGTAAAAATTTGCATACTCCCTCTCTGTACCAAGTGCATAGTCAAACTTGAAACGTAGTCTTCCGCTACAAGATGTATTATTTGAAAGCAGATGCCTATATTTCAATAAAAATGAAAAACCCACTCGAATCTAACTTTGATTGTCAATTCTGACACTCAATTTTGAAATCAATCATTAAATTTCTGTGTTATGAATATAACAGTCTGCCCAACAGAATAAGATCTATCAATCTCGTCACAAAATTCAAAAGTGAACAGAAAAAATAAATATCACCAATAATTCAACTATTTTCTTTATATCCATTGATTCTGATTAAACTGCTCATCTTTCATCTGTCTCACTCCATAAACATGTATGTTTCTTGGGATCAATAAATGTTATTATCAGTGACGGCTCGTCAGGAACGGCAGGGTCGGCCGGGCCGTACCGAATAATTTGGGGAAAATTACTGAACTATTTGATGAATACAATTATTTTCCGAAACTGTTTTCATAATTCATCGTTCATTATCCTACTGTTATGCCACTATTATTTCAATTTCATTCACTGGAACCTTTGAGTATGCCATCCGCATATACTCCGAAAATCACGAACTAATTCAGGACCTACGACATCTGGTAATCCCATCATCAAAACGCCGCTTCAAGTTGAAACGCTCGCGTAGCTCATTACACTGATGCAGACGGCCGGCCGATCGGTGGTTTCTTGTCTCGACCAATCTCGACGCATCGCCTACAGATTCCCCGCTTCAAGTTTGAATTCTCGCGTATAAGCGAACGATACGCGTCATACCTTGGGTGCGGCCAAGCTCTGCTGGCCGTCCGTACGTACGTTATCAGTAGTTTGCAGTGCGCTCGCTGTGCACCGTATCCGACCATTCCGACCTAATTTTTAATATACGGATTGGCATGATTGACATTCTATTTTCATTTTACATTGTAGGTATTTATAATTTTTATTCCTATACTTATTGGTAAGTTGATGTTGAAATTTGAAATGAACAAACTGAAAAAAAAAAAAAAATTCGATGTTTTTGTTCACGCTTGCAGTAGTTGCAGTGAAAATGACTGGTGATTTTTGAATTTTCAATTTTTCAGTGATTCATAATTCAACATATCCATCTAATATTGGTATCAGAATTTTCCTTCAGTGCCTCTGAGCGTCAATAAGTTATAATTCAATTTGAATATTGTAATGTAACCTACTGTGCCTCTGCCTATGTAGGTAATATGGCAAGAAAAATGTCAGCAGTCCAAGAGCTGAGTAGGTATTGAAACATCTTAAAAAAGCTCTGGTGACGAAAATGTAATAAATGTATAACTTCCAGAATATCATTTATTTTCAAAGACGCATGTAGCGGTTATAAATAATATTTATGCATCTTTCGCGGGTAACATTATACCAGAGATTATACACTCCTGATTATACCTACGGCTGCACGGCGGGCTCGGCCAGCCGACTACGAAGGAGTGGGGTGGCTTGTTACAGGAACGGCGTAGAGCGTAGACCGATTTATTGTTGTGCTTCTCGCGTTAGGTGAGTGGTTGTCGGTTATGTTGATTTTTTTGAGTTTACGTTACGTTTTCAACAGAATATAAATATTTTTTGTTCACGAGTTATTTTATTTTTATTTTCTTTCATTTTATTTTTTCGACTTTCTTGTTATTATTTTTTCATACCAACTAACCCTTATCCACCTCCTTTTCCTTTCCCCATTTCCCCTGGCGAGAATGCTCTAACCTCGTGGTTCTTGCTGTACAATTTAATTTTTTGGTTATGTGTAATACAGGGTGATTCACCATAAATGTCCCCCCCTCTAGCTCAGTTATTTTTAAACCGATTTCAAAATTTGAAATATCATCTTGAATGATTTTTGATTGAGTTTTTTTCCGCTACATCAGAAAATACAGGGTGCTCAGAACAAACGATCTACAGGGTACCATTTGATTTTTTTATATGGAACACCCTATTTGTCATTGTATTTTTAGATTCTCCCTGAAAAGCTGATTTGCTCAATGCATCACACTTGAGGTCTATCGGGAATGATTACAGAGATATAGGGTGTTCAAAATCGAGATTTTTCAACTTTAGGATTTTTTTGAGACGAAACTATTCATCATCGGTCAAAACGGCTTTCATGTCCATATCTCAACTTTTGATTTACCATCTACTGACATTTAATAATTGGAACAGATACAGGGTGATCATCAGAATTCTGAATCTTGAACCACCCTGTAAATGTTCCAATCAAATCTCAATAGACAGTTAATCAAAAATTAAGATGGAAACATAGGAGCCGTTTCGACCAATAATGAATAGTTTCGAGACAAAAAAAATCCTAAACTTGAAAAATCTCGATTTTGAACACCCTATATCTCTGTAATCATTCCCGATAGACCCCAAGTGTGATACATTGAGCAAATCAGCTTTTCAGGGAGAATCTAAAAATACAATGAAATACAGGGTGTTCCATTTGGAAAAATCGAGTAGTACTCTGTAGATCATTTGTTCCGAGCACCCTGTTTTTCCTGATGAAACGGGAAAAAAATTCTGAGAAATCATTTTAGATCATCCTTCAAATTTTTAAATCGGGTCAAAAATAAGTGAGCTAGAGGGGGGGGACAATTATGGTGAATCACCCTGTACATGCTTATTTGCCATCGAACTTCACTCAAGCCGCTGACCCAACGTGTTACGTTCGCATTTTAGAGCAATATCTATACCCTGGCCGACCCAGGTTCTGAGGGCACGAGCCGTCACTGGTTATTATTATTATTACCTTGACGACATGTTGACGATGCACGCCAGCTGCATCATGAACAGCGACGTCGTGTCGAAGGCGTCGTTCTCGCCGGGATCGAGGAAGTTGACGGGCCACACGTCGATGTACTTTTTCGTAGACACGCTGGAAGCGGAAAGAATTGAAATATCTGATGATCTAACCATTGTTGTTCTAAATCAAAACCTAGTTAGTAGGCGGGATGGTCAGAGTTCGTCAATGAAACGGGACGATTAGGGTTGGGGATGAAAATCACAATGAAACATTGTTCATACTTCCACAAATATTGAAAACAAGATGGATAAAGAAAAAACTGTTGTTGCAATGATAGAATTATCGATTCATTGATATTATTTGAATTAGAGTATTAAATGGAAACTCGTCAAAGCTGTGATAAAAACATTACTGTTCACGCTTTGTCTAAATGATGGCATGCAAGCTAAAAAACGGTAGGAATTGCTTATTCATTGCATATTATTATTCTTGATAACAACTTACTACATTATCGTTATTCCTCGAATATCAATTCATTATCATAAAATGAATAATACATAACTCTCTTGCTCAAGAAGAAACTCTGATGTTGAAAGTCATTGCATGTTGTCTCAAATTCACGTCATCGTTGAGAAAGAAGTGTTGAAGAATTCAGACACCTCCAACTCATGTAGAAATGCAAAATGGAACAGCAAAATCAAACAAACAATAAACCAACAACTAACTTGAAATCAGACAATCAAATCGAAATTGTGATTTGTATGAAGTGATGTTTTAAAAACTTACATACCTACCTACATTTTTACATATGCATGAAGTTTTTAGTAAACAAGCGCCATTGATGACAGGTAGACCAAAATTGAGTCAATGAACAGACAATATTATTTTCCTCGTCGACTAACAAGGTTTCCATTAGAATGACAATTGTCTACCAAACAAATAATGAGGTGTGCTCTAAAGTATGTATTTAAATTTTAATGAAGTTGTTATAAACACATCTGTATCAACTCACCTTTTTGAGTCTTTCCTAAACTTGGAAAAATTTCTGCAGAGGCATAAGTTTTTGTTTATATTCAGCACATCTCTCATCATTTGAACATACTCTATTGGTTGCAGAGTATTATTACTTCTCAATGGGAACACGTCATTCTCAAACTCTTGATTTTGATAATCCGAATCATTACTGGAATATCAGAAATATTGAAAATTATTTTTTCATGGAATTCAGTTAACAAGATACTATTGATGATAACTAAAGTATTTTTGTGAATAATACATTTAACTAACCTCTGCAAAAAATCTTGAGGGTCCTGATTGTCTAAAAATCCAAAAACTACTGTATTTGGCTTCATAGCCCCCATACCACTCAACCTAATCAGATGGCGAAGCCCTTCTCTTACAGTTTTTGCTACAGTCAGTTCAACAAAAGCTTTCACCTACAAACAGATTATCAAAAAGTAGATTACAATTTTTGTGAAATCCAGAAATTCAATTTTATAAAAAAAAAATAAACTGAAATGAAACAGGAACCAAAACACACTGAATCTGAATAAATTCAAATATTTTGTTAATCAATATTGTTAGGCCATCTATATTGATGAACAATTGTTAAGGACTAAACACATCTATCTATCAATTGAGAAGACAAAACTGTCCTACCACAGGCGGGATTTTGAATATTATTTTATTTTTGCTAAAATTAGCTCTTGAGATTTTGAAAATATGAATTGAGGGGTTTTAGGGGAAGCTGATTCTGAAAGTTATCTAAAATTAGCTCTAATATCCATTTCCCAAATAAAGGCCTTTTTGTGCCCCTCAACATCGCTCGCCAATGGTAGCTGAGAATGTTTACTATGCCAAAAACTTCATTTTTCCAACATACAGTCATCACAAAACTTTTGAGGAAATAATAACTGAGATATTAGGGTGTATACATGAAAAGCGAGACACACTGTAGAACGTCCGGCAACATTGCAAAAGCCATTGCTACTCACAGTGCCACTTTAAAATTCAAAATCTTCCGAACACTATTTTTTCTACAAAAATAAACTTTTATTTTGTTGCTTTTTTGTCTTTTCTATTACCTTCAAGTGGTCAATCAGATTCAGCCAATGTAACTGTTGACTCAACGTAGGATCAGGTCCATTATCAGATGTTTCCCCCGTTTCAATATGACCTAGGACATATAGACCGCCCTTCTTTAACACATTTATGAAATCAATGAGAGGACAGGCTGACCTAGGACTATTTACCAGCAACAAGATCTGCGGCCGCCAAAATTTCACATGGTCTTTGCGAGAGTCTAGTAAAAGGAGGTATTTTCTGACCTAGAAAATAAATTAACATGACAATATAAGATGAGACCATGAAGTAACTCTCCTCCTTTCTCCCTGTTAACGTTTAAACTACCTGATATTCCCCGGATTTTTTTGATCGAAGAGAACTGAAAAAATATAATTACTCACAACAAAATGGCCAATGTTTTAGTAGTACTCCCACGTCTCAGATTTCACGAAATTTGAATGAGCCATAAAATTGCAAGGGTTAGGAAATGCAAAAAAATCAAACTTGTTCAAATTCATTGATGTTCGGTATGAGGATAGAAAATTACGAAAAAAAAACAACCTTTTCGTTTGCTTTTGTTTTTCTAAATTTTAGGAAGATGTATTGTGTAATGTTTTATATAAAAAAAATATAGACATAGCCAATCGCTATAAAAAAGTCACCAACATCAATTTGCACTATTTTCTATTTCCATAGCAAACACTCTTCATGAACTCCAAATTTGCTTCTACATCGATCAAAATTTCAGCCTACTTCACTAAGAAGACAGTGTTGAAAACCAAAGGAAAGCGCATCGACCTCCGCTTTGATTGGTTGATTTTGGAGGCAGGTGCAGTCCGATATTATGGAATATGTCGAAATTTCAGTGTTGAAATATTCTTCTTTGAAAGATGTTCACATCATCACATTTCATTTATTTTTTGTTATGTTATGATTACCTTGAAACCTGAGAGAAACCCGATTTCAGAGTGAATTTCAACCATTGAAAGGGCAATGATTTTGAATTGGGCGTCATATTCTTATCCAGCCAGTGTGAACCTACCTTCAAAAGCAGCGCCACCTACTATATTCTTATTTGGAATCTAGTATAGGTGTAATCGTCTGTAGAAGACTTCCGTATTGAATAACTGTATTTTCTTTTTTGAACAAGACATTTATTTAATGACTTTTTACTGACAACTTTCTAACTACAACATACAAGTTGATTTGCACCCAAAATCATAATGATATATTGATATGATATCTCCCTGAGAGGAGCTGGAACATCATTAAGATGGCAAAACTAAAACTATCAACCTGTATCACGCGTTTCAGATTGTTCTCAAACATCCCAATAATTCTAACATGTTCTAGCGTATTCCCGAACACCCAATATATATCGTGGCGACCGACTATTCTCGAAAAATCGATGGAACTATTAGAGAGAGAGACGATGTTTTAAGAACAATACAGGGGAATGGAATCATGCAGAAGCCAAGGCAACTAATTGAACGAGCAGCTCGCACTGACACCTACAGTCAGTAAATCAATCAGTGTCAATGAGACAGATGTATACCACGTGTTTTAAACCACTCGAAATACATATTAGTGACAATTCCATGACATATATGACACTGTCATCTCCTGCGATATAAGAACCAATCAGAAGGCTGTACCTCGAGAGTATAGTCTGGCTCCTGAAAGATGACCGGCGGAGAGCACAATATAAATTTTGCGATCATCAATTCATTGTCAATTTAAAAACGGATTCCCAAGCGCTAGCTAGAAATGTGGTATCAGTTCATAAGTGCAGTCGGTCATATCGTTCGTTATTTGATGAAAGCGACGTAATCTGCAAAACCGAACTGTTCAGGTACTCTAAGCTCAGCGTACTGAACGTCTTTATCCTCTCCCGTTCGTCCCCGGTCTGTTTTGGCGCGTCGACCTATACGCTGCTCTTTCCTTTCCAGCCGGTAAGACCAGGTCAACCACGAATCTAAATTGAACAACATCTTGTCTCCTGATATAACATGGAGATGACAGTTTCATATGGGTAATGGAATTGGCTCAATGAATACACATCTTGCTCACAATATTATCGAAAATTCTGTCAGAAATCTTGAACTCGACAGGTAACTAACGCCACTTGTTCTGAGGACTCTGATGGTGTTACAAAGCAATTGGATCTCGTTGATTTCTGACAGAATTACTATCGATAATATTGCCAGCACTCATGGTTTTCCCCTGATAAGTCTGTAATGAATAAGTGTTCTTTTCAGTTCAATAAATCAGTTAGTTCATAAATAAATAGGCTTGGTGCACTTCTGCCCTCAAATATTATAACAAGTTTATACATCATATTCAAAAACAATATAGACCGGCAGGTAGTGATAGATTTTCGGACGTGATTTCTCCCAGTACGCCTTTTGGAAGGTATCATTATGTATGTATTTTGATGTTAAAAATAATATATGTATTAATCCTCCCGGGTTCTTCATGCATTCAAGTTAATTAACATTATTTGTTTGTAAATTTAGCGTTTCAATACAATTTCAGTCAAGCTGCCAGTGTTCCAAAATGAAATATAAGTGATATGCGTAGTTAAAAGTACGAAGGCATGCCGGTTGCATATGCCCAAAAAGTAATCACGGTCAGGTGTAGTTGCATTAAAAAACATATTTTCCTAGTTTTCAAACGGGCTGCCTTCAAGAAATATACATTTTTGTGATAAACATATGCTACGGAAAAATTATATAGCGTTTGAGCAATTACACCTAAACCTTGAAAACATGCTTAAAGGCATACTGAGTGAAATCACGTCCGAAAATCTCTCACTACCTGCCGGTCCAATAGGTTTACATAAAACGCCGGCTCAACGGTGACACTGCATACTCGCTTACCTGGTGGAAAATCAAAGCCTGCGATATACTCCCCCACTGAGCCTCCTTCGACGGACTGAACAGATGCAGACAAACCACCAGCAGCACGCACAGCAGAATACTGCAAGCCGAATAGATCGGGCTGATCACGAACATCATGACCATCGTGCCGAGCAGCCCGACCAGCGCCGTGTGCCACGAAAAGTACATGAAGGAGGGCCGGAAGTTGGGCGCTCCGGCCAGCTCGAGGCCGAGGCAGGCCAGGTTGGTGGCCAGGTAGCTGAGGAGGAAGAGCACGGAGTTGAGCTGCGCGATGAGGTTGAGCGAGCCAATCAGGAGGACGAATTGCACGAGGACGGCGGAGGCGATTACCGCGGCGACGGGGTTGCCCTTCCAGGTGCCCTTCGGAATGAAGTCGAGGAAGGGGCCTGCAAGTAGGGTTGGGACCTCAGAGTAGTTAGTCAAAAATAGTGTTTTATTTTGCCTATTTCTACTGCGGAAAAAACATCTTATTCTGGTAAATCGGAGATTCAAGCGGAAAAATATTAACTCAAAGTTCATTGTACCAGTATATCACCTGACGACTGTGTTAGCGAAACATGTCTTGTTTGAGAATTTTGTGGAAATCTTATCGTTTGTGGAGTTTTTACATAAACTTATTGCAAATATGAGAAATACTAGCCACCAAGATATAACAACAAATTATCAAACTCAAAGCTTATTACTGGTTTAATCAAATAAGTATTTCATTCCAAGTCAACGTTTCTTTTGTCGGCTTTCAGACTTTCAACCTTTTTACCTTTCATTTTGTGAAATAGCCCAATAAAATGCCACTCATCATCGAATTCAGATGCAGAATCGTGATGTTTCCTCTAAGTCCTATTAAGCAATTCAGTTTTGTTAAGAAATGAATCAAGAGACTTATCACGAAAATTCAATCACTTGTGTTATTACTAATTTAATTTGAAATGTTCTCCAGCTAAATGAAATATTTCCATTTAGATACCTCAAAAATATGTCGCGTTTCCAAGATTTTTGTGCAAATCTTTTCATTTCAAGTTTTCACTTTCATCCACCTTACCAAAAACCCTGTCCTTTGCCAGGGCCTCCAGCACCCTGGAACCTCCGATGACGTTGCTGAGTGCAGCGGACCATGTAGCCGTCAACAGCCCCATAGCCACGCTAGCTGGAAACACACTGATGCCTGCCATAAAGAGGTAGTCATTCTGCATCAACTCTTTGGTGCATGTCGCAGATGTTAACAGGGATATTGAAAGGTAAACGACCAGAGTGAAGGTTACGGCCGAGAGGGTTCCTCTTGGTATGGATTTTCCGGGATTCTTGAGTTCCCCTGAACGGAGATAACAGATTGTGAGAATTGAATTTTAAGCAGTGTTTTTCCTTAGCTTAGGATGATCAGTACTCAACTCGGTTACTTGTTAGGTCTTTGTCTGTACAGATTTGGAAGCCTCACAACATTTTACGTTAGATTATATGTTTTTTTATGCCAAATCAAGCAATTTTGAAAATTTTACGTGTAGAACACTGGATTGTATCTGTTGGATCTACAACAAAATAGTTATGGTTTCGGACTCTTCATAATATTTCACCTTAGAAAAGTACAAGACGGAGTTTGATGAGGAATTGAGCAAATTTAGAAATCTGTATGTGCTGGATATAGGTTGAAAATATGTATAGATTAGCCGTCAACAGCCCCATAGCCTCGCTAGCAGGAAACACGGTGATGCCTGCCATAAAGAGGTAGTCATTCTGCATCAACTCTTTGGTGCATGTTGCAGATGTCAACAGAAATATTGAAAGGTAAACGATCAGAGTTAAGGTTACGGCTGAAAGGGTTCCTCTTGGTATGGATTTTCCGGGATTCCTGAATTTCCCTGAACGAAAATAAACAGATTGTAAATATTAAATTTCAAGTTATTTTTTTCGAAATTAGTACCTAAGTCGGTTATTTGTTAGGTATTTGTCTGTGTACAGATTCGGAATCCTCAGTACATTAGTTATTAGTTAGAGAAGTTAGATTAGATGGTTTCTCATGAGAAATCAAACAACTTTGAAAATTTGACGTGAAAAACACTGACTGGTATCGGTTGGATCTACAACAAAATGGTTATGGATTTGGAAATCTTTATTTGCTCCCAAGCAGGTATAACACGCTGATGCCTGCAATGAAGAGGTAGTTATTCTGCATCAACTCTTTGGTGCATGTTGCAGAGTTCAACAGGGATATTGAAAGGTAAACGACCAGAGTGAATAAGGGATTCCTGAGTTCTCCTGAACGTAAATAAACAAATTGTAATAAAAGAAATGGAGCAGTTCTTGGAATTTACCTGGAAGAGCAGTACTCAACTTGCTTCCATAGTAATTTCCATATTTGTGTAGATTCAGAATCCTCATGACTCATGACATTATACGCTAGAAAAGATTGGGTGAGAAATTGAACTAATTTGAAAATTTGGCGGCAACTTCGTTGTCCGGTCGATCTATGACAAAAATGTGTATGGATTTAATTGCATATTGGATTCATTCTTTTTTTTTATCACTCTATAAACATGTACCTACGTTTCTTGGGATCAATAAATGTTATTATTCTATTATTATAGATCTACAACAAAAATGTGCAAAAATTCGGATTCCACATGATGAAAGATAGGGATTTTCATGAATATTGAACAAATTTCGAAATTTCGTGGCAAAAGCAGTAATATTGTTGGTAAGATCTAGACAAAAATGTATTATGACAAAAGTTCTAAACAAATGGAATCCACATGACACTTTACCTTAGATTAGGAAGGTTTCTATAGAAAATATAGCAATATTGGAAATATGGTAAAATATGGTATTTTTTACAGGAAAATTAACTTATAATAATAAATTTGTATTCAAATATTTGAATCCATCTATTGGTAACCAATGATCACTAATAATTTTCAAAATAAGTTTTGGTTCAAGTAAAGTATTTGCTATGTTCATGTTTTCATTGACAATATATCATGGGAAACCTTATTACAAAAAAATTATAATAAATCTCACTCATGAGAAAGCTAACTGCTTAAGAGCACAGATTTAACAAAGTGTTTTAGAACTGTTCAAAGACCTATCTACATTATTTCCATATATATATCTCAATGTTCTCTCAATAAGTGAGTTTGACCAAAATTGGTAGAATGATGTGATATACTGAATTAAGTTAACATTTCTTAAAGTTCTGTTTGGTACATTAAGAATATAATAATTAACTTCCATACATTGGGATAAACAACCATTCCATTAATCAGTTCAGCAACTTCTTTTTATTTAATAAATCTTACCACTCATATTAGCCCCAGCCATAATTCCAGTGACACCAGAAAATAAAACCCCAAACACTGTGGCAAAAGTAACAAGCTCCCCTTTAGAGGTGTAGTCCCTTCCATACTGGGGCCACAAGTTACTTCTCAATGTAGCACCCTGTAAGCCTGTATAATTTCTTGTTACATGCTCTGTTGCATTTTGGATGAGAGTATTTGAATCAGGTATAGGAATCTAAAAGGTGAATAATAAATGGAATGTCACATCAAATTATTCAAATTCCTAATAATTCTCTTCTCATTATCTCACCTCTAAGAAGCCATCATAAAAGAATGTGAAAAAAGTAATAGCTAAACATCCACAGACAAGTACCAAGATGAATACTGTTGTTTTAGCAAACATTGAAGCACCAATAAGACAAATTAATAGATTTAAAATATTCAGTGAAGTACAATACAAGAATTCCCACCATCTTCCATCTGGAATTAGGTCACCAATCAAATAACCTAAAATATACAAAGTATTATTTTAGATCATTCTATATTTCAAACATCTTTCAAGTAATAAATGAAAAAAAAAATCACAGAAACTAATCACAAAGTTCATCCTCATTTTTCAGCCTCTATAATCTATTGATATATTGATTAATGATACTAATATATCAGAAAAAGGTACAGTAGATCAATTTTCAGTTCAGAGCATCTATGAAATATCAATAAATAAATATAACATAAAATCAGTTGCCAAGTTTGTTGTATTACCTACAGCTATTTGAGGAGATATCTGACTCATTGAGAGTGACTTGGTCACCTACTCTACAGTCCAAAAAATTTATATTCAAAATGATATATCTATATTGACCTAATACATAACTTTTACAAGATGCTGTTTACAGATATTCCAATTCTGAATTCTCATGTCTTTGAACTGGATAAATGAAAATAGATATTGTTATGAGCTCCATAGTCACCTGATGGTCCAAAGTTTTCCACTAAGCCCTCAACACACCCAGAAATGCATAGGGCACTGCTCACAATGTTAGCTAAGAAAAATAGGGTACCAATTGAACCACCAAAATCTGGACCCAGTGTCCTGCTTATCATAACTGATCATAAAGTGAAGGAAATGTTTCTCCATTACCTGATATAATTGGTGAAGTAGGTACCTCAAAATATTACATTATTACTTCAAGAAACTGAAAATTTGAGTAAAAATCAAAGGATACAATAGGCTCCACCTCCTTCTATTGCACCATTGGTTGATATAGCACAAACTGACATTACTGTGAAGACCAAAATTGCATAAGCAATAGCAAACTGGGCCAATGTTACTAGCAATCCTGCATTCCCTACAATGTATCCTAAAATACAATGTTAGATGATTTATTCCATATATACCTAATGTCTGCCTAGATCATACTTACCCATTCGCAGGAAGATGAGAGCAGAGAACATAGACAGTGTCACAGGAGAGAACACCCCAGCAAAAGTTCCTAAGGTCCTAGTGCTTGATTCTTCAGAGAATGTTCCAAATTCTACATACCCTGTGCCACTTCCTGAAGAAATTGTCTGATTTCTGTTGAAAAATCCCGATAATTTCCTCATTATATTATTATTTGAACTTGAAACTAGGGGTGTTTCTGAATGATTTGTTGATCCTTCTTCTGGAGCCAACATTTTATCAATCATTAAAGGAAAGGTTAGTTAAGTCAATATTCAATGGAACAAGTCATTTTCACCATCTATTATACTTCACTAGAAAGAATATACATTTAATTGAATTTTAAATGAAACTCATATTTTGAAATTGAATATGAGTGGGAGTTCTTAAACGAAAAGTTGGAAAACAAAGGACCCAATCAACTCAAAGGAAATGTGTAATCTTTCATTATTTTGAATCATTCTTTTTGACATGTTTTTTGATTGATTGACAATGATTTATGACTTTTGACAAATCAGGTTGAAACCGAATTTTGAAAATCAAAAGTACATGAAGTTGGCAATTGGCAAGGTGATCGACCGTTGGGCGGCGTTGGGGGCGCTGTTTCAAAACAAGATGCGGCAAAGAGTGTGTAGTTTGTTTACAAAATTTCTTGAGATTTGCATACATTTTCTTCTTGATATTTCATCGTGTTATTTGTGTTAATTGTTGAACTTTCAACTAAAATCTTAATTATATTTGTTGGATCTTACTGTTTCATCGTTATGTGAGGAAAATTACTGTTACCTACTGACTGAATCGTGGACTTCAAATGTCTTCAAACCAGTGCATTTCTGTGGGACAGCTTTATGGGATATCACAAATCACAAGCATATCCACTATCATCAGAAGCTGATATATTCACCATCATACCTCTATAACTCCACTCTTCAAGCAAAAGGATCCTACAGACGACAAATGGTGATACCAGGAGTGAAGTTTTTCAAACGTGAACAGCCTTCTGTGAACATATTGAAAACCATCCCTAAACAATGTGTTAACCTATTCGACTATTTTGTGCTAAATATTATAGCTGATAGCCATCAGAATCATGTGCAATTATATATAATAGAAATCAGCAGCAACCAGCTCTAATGAGTCTAAACCAAGAAATAATTCAACACCAAAGGCATCCTGACATTACTGTGGACACAGCTGTGGATTTAATAGTTGATACAACTATCAATGGCCTATCTTCAACAATATTACTTCCAGGCTTTGAGGATTGTTTACAGTGCAACTCCCATACCTCATATATTATGGTGCTCCACTGCAATAACAGCAAATTGTCATGATCCTATGTGCCATGTGTGTGAAATGTATCCATATAACACACTTTTCATAATGTGAATATTCCTAATATACTTAGAGTTGAGGTAGGTGGCATCCTAGACTGAGTTTTCTTCTTGGAATTCATTTGATATCTTGTAAAGCTAGTTTTTTTCAACATATTGATGAAATCATTGAATAATTTGGAATTCCACCACATAAAACATTGATCAAATGACCTAGGATTTCAGTTAATGTATTTACACAGTATATTATCCTAGATTTTGTGATTTGATATTTTGTAATCCTAAATTCATCTAACTGAAAATATCTATCTTATCAATCTGTATATAGTTCATTATGTTTTGTATATTTTGGAACTGAATTAATAATAATTTTTGAAAATGAAAGTACATTTTCATAACATGTGTTTTACTGTACTTATGCCACTCCAAAGAAGTCAAGAAAGAAGTACCTACAAATAGAAGGATCTTCCAGTATACTCCTTCCCTTAGTGCTCATGTATACTGTTTTTCCCTGAATTATTTTACAAGATACCTTCATAAAAATTTACAATTAAAAATCATTTCGAAATCCAGGACTTTCATATATGTAGAAATAAATTAACAATGAGCAAAAGTAAGTATCTACTTGGTAGGTACCTATTTTAAAAGGAATCAATAAAGATTATAAAGTGAAACTTTGAAATTGCATCAAAAAAGAATGAGGTGTTGATTCAGGTAGTTGTGGAATTGAAATATGAATTTTGAAAACCTACAATGAAACATTACAAAAAGAAAAAAAAGTAGAACTTTTACTTATGAATAAATACAGTTTAATAATAACATACAAGCAGTAAAATTATGAATACATTATTCCAAGATACAATTTGAAATGTCATGGATATGTTCAAGTACCCAAATAATCAGTGATATCTCCTTGAAAACTTTGGTTTCAATTTGTGTAACTATTTGCACTCAATTGCAAGATACCCTGGATGGTAACTCCTCCCCTGCTGAAAAATTGAAGAAATGTTAGTACCTACTATAAACAAACCATATCTATAAGCTATTACACAATCTAAATATTCAAATAGAAATAGATTGTGTCACTTCAATGTATGTTCAAAGATTCAATTCAAGCTATGAAGTAAGCTACCTACAATGACCTGCTTGTACCAGGGTTATTATATATCTATAAAATATGCTACTGTTTTTGCTCATATGAATGTAATTGGGAGCTGTATTTTAACTTAATCATTTTGGAAGTACATGCAATCTGCATTGGCAATTTTACTACAAAATAAGAATCTATGGAGGCCTAGGCAGGATGTCATGAACAAGATTTTTATATGAGTCAAGCATTACAAATAAAACCATAAATTACCCACCTGCACATGTTCATGATGTCTATTTTCTTGTCCAGCTTTGTGTATTGCAGTTCAGAAGTCAAAGGCATTGAATTTGCTTCTTTATTTTTCTTATGAAAATATTTGAAAGAAAAACAACCATACTTATTTTTCCAATTCCTGGAGACATTTCCCCATAAACAAAATAACGAGCAAAATAAGTATGAACTGTTGTTAATTTCAATCATGTTCTCTCTCAGATATGCAGGCACTGCAAATAAGAGTTATTCATCAGTAATAAATATATCAATGAATCACAAATTTACCTTATTGTTATCATTATTGAACCAATGAAGTGAAGAAATGTAGGAAGTTTTTGTTGGAGCTGCATACATCCACTTTTCAAACTCATTTGGATTCTCAACGTTTATCCATTTTTTCCATTCAACTGAACTGATTTTTCCTTATCAGAAAAGACTTCTTGAGTGCAGGGAATTCATATTAGAGGACATTATTATAGGTCCTACATTTGTCCATTGGAATAACCTTCTACTAGTTCAACCAGCAACCAAACAGTTGATTTTGCGTATTATCAGAGATTTGTTGATACTAATTTATAAAATAATATAGAATTGATTAGGCAATTGATATAAAGTTTATGTCTTGTACTCAAGAGAAGCAAGAAAAGAAAATTAACGTAATTTGTTGAATGGTATTCATAAAATATGAAACCCACTGAACACAATAACAAACATGACCTTGAATTACGTCCTAAACTGGTTCAAATTTGCCCACCAGGTGCCGTATCGGAATCGTCACCTTTACAGTGACTGCATGTCTCTGTAGTCACCTTGCCAATTCTTGCCAGTTGCAAACGTCACTGTCTGTCACTTGTCAGTTGTCACTTGTTAGATTGACGTTTCTTGTTTTGAATAAAAATAATATAATAATATACAAAAAAAAGTATTCAAAAATATCAATATTTAATATTTTAACTATTACTAAGAATAATAGTAATTTTGATTGAAGGACGTAAGACGTGGACAAGCCACATTTTGGCTGCTCTTTCTTGGTTTAAATTCGATTTATTATTGATAACCTAGTTATTTAAAATTCTGATGTCAGGCGAGGAAGAAAGAGTTGAATTTATGGATTCTCCAAAAAGGGGTTCGTGTTAAACCAGAGATTTTTTTTCTCGCTGTACCTATATGGATTTCATGAAATTTTCATTCGTAACTGTTATCAGGTCCAACATTATCAACTTCAACCTCTAGTTTTGAAGCTCTGGACCCTCATGATCCCAATCTCAGTCAGCTTGCAAACAAAATGTTTAGTAAAACCTCTGAATATCTGTACGGTGAATTGACTTCAACACTAGATGACTACCGACTGTTAGAAAACATGAATCAAGTTGTTATTACAAAATATTCTGATATGAAGCATCTTGCTGTAAATGTTAAGAAGAGTATGTTGGATCTAAATGACAGATGTAAGATGAAGCCATAAAACATTGCAGAATTGATAACATGTTCTGTTACAGATAACACTTTGATACCTCTTTTAGAACAAATAGACCAAATTGAAGATAGCATTATCAAGCTGGAGCAGGCTGCTTACAAGTTAGACTCATATTCAAAAAGGTTAGAAACAAAGTTCAAAGATTTAGAGAAACGTTAGGTTTGGTTAGGTAATTAGATGGCTATTGAGTTTATTTGATAATATGTTAATTGTTATTTCATTAAAATAGTTTAAGTTACCAATATTGAGATGTATCATTAAAAAAAAACAAATATGTGGGATACTATTCCAGATGCCACCCTTACTCCTTTCTTTATTGTTACTAATGGAGTAAAATCATCAAAAAGTGAATATTATAGTATGTTTAGACAGTACTTTGTTTTGTTACACTCAGAAACTCTTTGGCAAGCTCATTTTCAGTATCTTGAATAGATTTATTTTCCTCTTCAATTTTTTGCTTGACAATTTCTATTCTTGATTTGTCTACACAATCTATGAACTCATCCATCAACCGTTTGCATTTTATCATACAATTTTCATGTCTTTTCAAACACAGTAGGAGCTGAAAGTGCATTATTCATGGTTTCCTCTACAATCTTAGTGTCATCATATCTCACCTCATCTGTGGAACAAACTTGTGGCCGCAATTTTCCAATATTTGACTCAACTTGTCCCATAAGATCATTAATTGATTGTGGTGTCAATTCATGTGTATTTGTATGTACATCATCCATACATTTGAGTACTTTCATCCACCTGTCATCATCAATTTTTCTAGAGTCTGCTGATGGTTCAGGAGTATTTTCCATTTTTTGGGTTTTCTGCTCCTCAGCTTGTGTTTTCTCCTCTGAAAGATAAATTTTCTGATGTGGAAGTTCTTTTAGTTGTATATTAGTTGTGCTTACTATACCCCTAGTTATCCTTTCAATGCATTGATCTGATAAGTTGATGACGCTCTCTTCTTTTGCTGAGTTTCCGGTGTCAAAACTTTCTCCAAAGAGAATATTTCCCATAATAAATTTCAAAAAAATAATGATAGTTTACCAAAATGGTTGAGAAATGACAGAATCTATTGTGACATGAAAATGGCAAAATGGCAAATGTAAGGATATGTCATGCCAGTTTTTGATAAGGTACTCATCAGTGAATAAATTCTCTGATATACTTACCCAGAGTTCGCAAATTAATTCTTGGAAACTTGAATTTTGTTTGTTAAAACTCCATTTTTCATATAACTAAGACAGGAAAATACAGGTTGAATTATAAATCTGAAATTAATGGAGGAGCTTCCATTTGTCACTCATTTCAACATACCTACATAAAAACTGGACATTTTATTGCATCGCTTACGAGTTTCGTACCTCCCCGTATATTGAGTCATGTTTCCGGATCACGAAACGACTTGTATGATCAAATTATCGTTAGGTACCAAATTTCGCGATTCTAGGATTAATGCTAACAGAGATAATTGAACAAAAATGCACTTGCATATGACAGGAATATGTCGTTGGGCTTTTTCAAATATTTTAGATTTGGGGACTGCTTGAATACTCCGATATAAAAATATATCCAAATTACTACCTACCCAAAGCTAAAATTTGTTAAATAAACGAAATATCCGGAAAACAAGTTTCAAGACCATTATCAAAAAAATGGAAAATCTTGAAGACATTTTGAAGATACTGATAGTATAGTATCTATTATTGAAACCTAATAAAAATCATTTCTGATAATATCTCGCAATGTATACAGGGTCGTTGTAACATGAGTACGTTAAAATATTCAAGTGAAGTATTCCTGATTTTAAGAAAAAAAGTATATATGAACTTGTGCCCGGAATTTATCTTGACGAGACCTACCACATTTAGTTTTGTGAACTTCTCAGCAACTTCACATAGCGCCCTAGGAGCTAAGTAACCTGCATCGAAATTGAAAATTGTACCTAAATATCTCTAAAACGATCACTTCCTGCGTTGTTGAGGAAGTGTACCTTTTTTACTTGAAAAAGATATGGGAATAATGTTTTTCCGTGAAAAGTACCAAAAGTTTACTGTCAAAAATGTTAGGGCAATTCGAAAAAAATAATGACAGCGTATGCGCGCAGCACCCTCTAGATGTTACATGAATATTGATACGAAAATATGATTTGCCACGTCAAAAAAACACCCAGGTTCCAAATTTCGTGAAAATGAATTATTTTTTGCAAAGGTATTTTCAAAAAGCGAACACAAAAATCAATTTCAACACCCTGTATCTCCGAATCGAAACATTTCCGGACACAAGTTTATATAGACTTCTTTTCTTAAAATTTTCTCAGGAATACGTCACTTGAAATATTTAAACGTACTTTATGTCACACCCTGTATAATGTGTATAATTATTTTTAGAGATATTGGGAAAACCTTCCTCTTCACTTTCTTCATCGCACGCCTATGAAAAGAACCTGGTCAAACCGGCCATACACTTTCCATAATTTTAAATATCCGTTTCAAAAAGAATTTTCTCATTTTGTGTTCTACTTCCCATCTCAAAGTATCTCCTGATCAACGTAATTACAAAGAGAAAATCTACCTTTTGCCTTTTCACCATATCATTATCATGAATCGCACGCTCGTATTATTCTTTGTGAACCTGTTATCAATCATATCATCAAGTTTCGCTAGACAAATCAATATCGTTAACCCAGTGGAGGTGATAAACAAAGTTTTCTTCACGCCTCAAGTGTCGGTCAGCAAGCTCCCGCCGTTCTTCGAATTTTTCCTGCAAAAAATCCAGAGCCAGTTTTCGACATACGCCCACGAAGATCTGAGCAGGCCGCCTACATGGGACAGACCGGTTTACACTCTCTCGCCAGAAGATCAGATCATATTTTCGGCGAACACAACTGATATAACGGTCAATTCTGAATCCACGACCGAGAAGCTATTCGAAATAATCAAAAATGGTGTGACACCAAACATTTCTATAGAGGTGATCCAGGATACAACGGGAAGTTCTTTGACTAATGAGAACTTTGATAAGTTATTTGAGGTGATCAATTCGGTGACTGAAGTTAAGAATGATACTTTTATTTATATCACTCCAAGACCTCTAGGTGCGTCGGAAGCGCATATCAAACCTGATAAAGTAGTCGACGCTGATCTGGAACTCGATATTTCCATCAAGGAGACTGCTCGGACTGCCTGACCTGCATGCTTATATATAATAGAATAATATTCAATATAATATCACTATCTATAGGGTAAGTGATTTATGCAAATATAACTAATTTTCTAACATAGATCGGATAGATATATAGGTGTACCTATTCTTTTTTCATACTTCCACTTCCGATTTCACTTGTGTTTTATTTATTTTCGTAATGTGGCCATCAAGGAGAACACCGAAATAGTTGACAAGCGCCAAAATTATATATTTTTTCAATATTTTCCCCTGGCATCCTTCATATTTTTTCAAAATGGCTGATACAGAAAATTTGCACACATTGTACACACAGTATAGCAATGTTCTACCAGATAAAAATGACAGAAGTAGTCTCAGGTTCATGTAGCCACCCGATAAGTAGATCATACCAACAGAAATTAACCTACTATTCCTTGGAATAGGAAGAAAAAAATGTATTGAAATTGAAAAATATTATTATTTTAGTATGAAATATCACTCGGTATGGTGAAAAAAGAAGTAATTGTGTTCCAAAAAAGTAAACATCAACAATTATATTCTGTTTGAAATTCGTCTAAAAATTTCTCTTTGCACACATCATTATCATACCATAAATATTAGAGATCCTGATGAAATACCAACCAACCTGTACAAGATAGATCGATTATTTGCGAATCGAAATACAACTGGACTATGCAAATAATGTTTTTCGAATATGCAGATTCACACATGAATATATCTCATATTGAAACAATAGACCTCAGGAAAAACAAAAAACTACTCAACACTTTTGAAGAGAAGCTAAGACATGAAGACAGATAATTGGCAATGCGATCCTCCTATTTAAATTTCTACCCGGAACTGACAGACAACTCACGACATCAGTATACCTCAATTTGAGAATACAAATACAGATATAACCAGAACCATAGCAATAATCAGATTATCGAATAAATTCATGTTGAAACTGACTTTTCATGGTAATAACAACATATCAATCCGAGAGAGTTCTGCACCATTTGTAGTCAACAAAAATATCAGACGATTGGACATCTCCTCCGAACGTCTACTACCTCTCCAACATCAACATGGAAAACTTTGTTAACGCTCTCAATAATATAACGTCAACAATAGGATAAACTATCTATAACCATGTGTACAACATCATGAAAACGAGATCTTTCATCTTAAACGAGTATTATTGTAAATGACTGATTATTATTATCGCTCAAAATCTCCATCAATTATAATTCCAATCATTCCGATATATTATCACTTTGTATAACAATGTATTTTTCTATTCTAGCTAGGCCTCAGGATGATACACACTTGATTATCAATGTATTCATCTATCCTTGTTTCAGGATGCGATTAAAAATAAAACAAGCTATTTTTTTAAGATACCGGAATAGCAATTCACAATTTTCAAATCTTCTGAAATTAATGAGATAATATAATAGTGTGACCCAGCTGGAAGCAGAATATCCCTATAGAATTTCTAATTATATTACCTATGCGATTTTGAAAACTTTTTTTGATTGAATAGCATTCAATTGAAATAAATAGTAGTTCATTAAAGAAAGAAACACTCTTTTATAGATAGTCAAATTAAAAAGAAGTGGAAAATTAAAAATAAAGTGTGTTGATAAATACACAACATAGAATATACTGATTACGGAGGTGCTAATATTTTCTATGTTGTGTATTCATCAATACACTTTTATTATTTTATTTTCTACTTCTTTTTAGTTTGACTATCATTGATATCGTGTTTCTTTAGTTTTTTGAATTTATATTTATTTTCTATTTTTTAATTCGGCCCACTTCAAAAGCGTATTTTTTTATATCACTTGTAAGTACCGCCCCACAGTGAGAGTATAGGAAATTTGCGCGCCTGTTGTTTTCCTTGGATGTTGTTACCGTTTATCAGGCTCCCTAACCGAAAACTTTATTCCATACGAGTGCTTGGTGCAAGACACTGCCGTCTCTCTGAATGTGACTAGTTTTAATTTAATCTTACGTTTTTAGTGGGTCAAAATTACCCGAGAAAACACCCGTCTCTGGATGTATACAGGGTGTTTCGAAATTCGACCGACAACGTTTGACAGGTGATAGCCCTCGTGATTTCATAATCATTGAGATAGGAACATTCGGTCTTCAAGTGTTCAGTTCTCGAGATACAGGGCGTTGAAGTTGAGAAATGAAAATAGTTGTTTCGCAATATCTCAAGAATAATTGAATATAATGCATTCAACTTCGGTATATGGTTTCATCTTTGAATGGGTCATTTTTTGACCTGGAAGCCATTCCGGACATTTTGTCCAGTGGTGCCCTACAGGGGGTTGTGGCATTTTTTCCTTCCATATTTTCTACGCCACTGATTAAATTTCGATTATTTCCAATTCCTCGAATTCATTGTTCAATTTTGTTCAGAAAATGCATCACCTTCAACTGAGCTGAAATAAACAGTTTTCGAGATATTCGACCCAAAATAGAAGATTGCATAGTAATATTTCATCATTTTCAGTAGTAGAAAATTGCAAAAATATTTTTCTGGTGTTGAGTAGATTAGATACTATTCAGATCTCATGCTATAGCTGAACAGAAATAGTTATTCCACGCATAAAGAGAGAACAAAAATGTTCGTAATTTTCTAATACTGAGGA